TGTCGCAATCCCTCCTCCCCCATTCTCCTCTCGGGATCTCGGGCATGCACGCACACGCGCCCCCAGTGGGAGTTTAAGCCACTGGGTCCGGGACTCAAACCGCAGTCAGCTACATGGGAGTTCAGCAACATAGCCATTACGCTGATTTTTGCCTTTCTAAGCACTTCTCACTTTTCATTCGAGGCTGCCAGGATAATCAATAAAGACCCCAATAATTTGGCTGTGTCTGGAATGTCCTCTTATTTCTCGCCGATTAGATGACTAATGTCCCTCAGACCCGATCTAAGCAGACAGCTCCAGACAGCGGGTTCAGGCAGTGGGAGATGGCTGTGCTGTACTGTATCTGACCTAGTATTTACGTTCCAGTATGTAGGAGCATCAGAGCTTCCATTTACCCGAATAGACACCTTTTCTCCACGCACTGACTGGTGCACCCTTCGCCCACTACTTTGCAATGCCACCTTCACGATACGCTCAATTTCCTAGCACAGGTACCTGTTTCCTCTGCTGCTTTCAGTGAGTTCACAGTACGGTTTTATTATTATCAGCAGGGAAAACCTGCCTGTGCACCTCCCCGCTCCTCAAAATGTCTTGCGTATTTTTCACTCCATGTAAATTTTAGAACCAGCTCGAGTTTGCTAAGCTCCACAGAAATTCCTCTAGAACCTGAAATTATTTGGTGGGAGGGGATGTCCTCACTCAGGAGTGTTAAGAATGTCCCTTAAGACCTTAATTGTTCGCATGTTCTGCTGCTGTAATTAATTATAAATTAGAACTGTAACAAATATAAACAAGTTATATTATGTTACAAATATAAACAAGAAACATTTCTTGCTGATATAGAGCAAAATTTCTGATTCTTTTTTTTTTTTTTTGAGAGTTTTTTGCTATAGGGTGCGTGCACTCGCCAGAGACAAGAGAGACAGAAAGCGAAAAATCCCCCCGCCTCTGGGGATGGCCACGCCACAATCCCCTCTCCTCCATTCTCCTCGGGATCTTGGGCACGCACGTACACACACGCACCCAGCGTGAGTTTAAGCTGCCAGGTCTGGGACTCAAACCACGGTCAGCCACATGGGAGGTCAGCGACATAGCCATTACGCTAAGTGCTGGTCCCGAGCTTTTGATTTTTACACGGTGATCCTGAATCCAGTCCCTTCACTCAAGGTTTTTTTAAAGCTGTTCCAGTAACATTTCGGTTCCCACACTGTGCACTGCACAGGCTGGTTCCAGTGTGCTCTGGGCATGAGCACCACTGGCAGACATGGAGCTTGCTGGTTCCCTCTCAGCAGGTTAACGGGAGGCTGGTTAAGAGAGCAGAAACCACAGCTTGGTGATTTCATAATCAAATCCGATTAGACCTAGCTGACTTCTGTTCCTTTCTGCGTGATAGGTAATTTTCACTTTTATTTTCTTGGCAGGATGTTTTTCGATCTCCAAATAAATATTTAACAGACAAAAAAACTGCTCACTTGTTGAATTCCATACATTTTATCAAAGTTAGCTTTTCATTTTATTCGAGTGTTTCCAATTTGTTATTCCCAAGTGTTTAAGAGTGTTCAGTTATTTATTTATTTTTGGCTCTAGGGCATATGCACTCCCAAGAGACAGACAGAGAGGAAGAAAATGCGCCCCCAGTGGGGAATGGTTGCACCACAATCTTCTCCTCCATCTCTCCTTCCTTATCTTGGGCACACATACACATACACGTGGTTTGTCTTTCAAGCTGTTGGGTCCACCTTAACCACTAGATCATGGAGCTGGCTCCAATTCTCACTTCTTTATGTGCTTGAAAACATCTATATTTTTGCCTTCGCAGCTGACCAAATTTGGGTAGTTACAGAACTCGAGGTTTAAGACCACTCTCAGAGTTCACGACCACTGTCGTGCTGAGGGCACTGCTCTACTGCTTTTGGCACCTGAGGCTTCAAGCGGGAAGATGGGTGCTGGCCTGGCTCCCTGTTTAACTGGGCAATGGCGTTTCTTTCTGGAAGCATTCAGGGTTTTGGCTTTGGTGTTCAAAATTGCACTTTTTTTGGTCAATGTGTGGGTTGTTTTCATTTTTAAGATCAGTATCTTTAAGAGTTTTTTTTTTCTTTCCCTCCCTTGCCTTAGGGTATGTGCGCTCACTGGAAAGGGGTGGGGGGGGGGACAGAGACAGTGAGGGAGAAAGCGAGAATCACTCCTTGGGGGATGGCCACGCCACAATCCCTTCTCCATTCTCCTCCCGGGGTCTTGGGCACACATGCACATGTGGTCAGCATGAGTTTCCAGCCACTGGTTACAGGACTCAAACCACGGTTATCCATGTGGAGTGCAGCGATGTTAACTGCTACGCCATCTGCTGGCCCCGAATCAGTATCTCTCTACATAGCTAGGAAATTCCCTTCTGTGTCTTCTTCATCTCCCTCCCACTGCATCTGGTACTCCTATCCCAGTGAACTTGTGGAGTGTGCTTGGACCAATCTGGACTTTTACTCTGTGTTCTGGGACATTCCAGGTCACTAATCTGGTTACTACTCAGGTTATTCCTGATGCTCAGTCACAGAATGATTTCATTCCACCAACTATATCCTTTAACTTTTTTTAAACAATTTTTATTAATTGTCATTATTTTATTTTATTCAAGTTGACCAGAGACAGAGAAAGAGAAGTGAGGAAGCAAGCTGCCAGGTCTGGGTCTCAAACCGTGGTCAGCCATGGAGTTGAGTCGCCTTAACCACCATGCCATGCCACTTGCTGGCCCTAAGAAATCACCCCCTAGAGGCGATGGCCACACTGCAATCCCTAATCCCCCTTCTCTTCTCAGGGTTTTGGGCATGCATGCACATGCACCTGGCATGACTTTCAAGTCACCAGGTCTGGGACTCGAACTGTGGTCAACCTCATGAGAGTCCAGTGATGTAACCATTATGCCATCTGCTGGTCTCTTTAATTTTTAAGGGTGCTAATTTTTTTTCTTTTTTAAAATCACCTGTTTTCTCAGAAATTAATTATACTATTGTCTGAGGATGACGGATTATCTGTAACTATAAAAAGGAAGGCCTCTGTATAAAGATTTCATTAGTTACGAAAATGATGTGTAAGCTCAACTAAGAACACGGTATATGACAGTTTATGTCAATTCTGATTACAAATGCCCAAACAGAGGGAGCAGATCATGTATAAATCTTCACTAGTGGGGCATTCCATGAGAGCAGTCTTGCTCAAAATCTGATCTGTATGCAACACCGGCAGATCGTGAGGAGCGGCTACGTGGACAATCCCAGGCTCCTTCCCAAGGAGCTCTGCTACCGGGACTCCCAACACACTTGGGGTGGACCAGTCCTCGCCTTGCCGCATCTGGGAGACCTCGTCAATACTTACCAGCGGCAGTACTGGTCTGAGCTCCAAAAGAAAAAGTGGCCTTTGCTGGCTGTTCAGATTCCTTCTCCGCTGGCTTGGCCTTACTGAAACTAAATGTGGACTTTGAAGAACTCTCATCTTTGGTTTGCTCTGAATTCCCAAAGGAAAACACTGATTGAAACTTTGGCTCTTCGTTGTCAGTTTTCTTCCCAAAAACTACAGAAGTAGAAGTGACGGGCTCTTGCTGCTTCTCTTCTGTCCTTCCCAAAATGAACATTGAGGCAGACGGCACAGAGGCAGGCTCCGCGCTGCCAAAAGAGAACCCTCCTTTGGTGGCAGGCGTTTCTTCTTTCTTTGCTTCTGATGTCTTACATGTGAAAGGAGCCACTGAGACACTCTTGGTTTCTGTGGTTCCAAAGCCAAAGCTGCTCTTGTTCTCAGAGGTCACCACGGTGTTAGCAGCAGCAGGGGTAGGGTTAATAACTCCTGTACCAAAGCTAAAGCCTACGGGTGAAGATTTAGGCAGTTCCTCTTTCTTTTCTTGCTGCCCAAGATTAGACACCCCAAACTGAAACGGAGCTAAAGAAGTTGGGTTGCTCAAACCAGAAGGAAGTCCAAACTTAAAATTATTATCATTTTTACTGTCTTTTTTAACTTCTTCGGGTTTAGAATCAGACGAAACTCCAAATTTAAAATCTCCTATAGGTTTAGAAAATTTAAAGCCTTCATTTGTAGGGTTTACAGATCCAGAATCAGATGACACAGCTATTTTGAATCCTCCCTGATCTCCAAATTTAAAATTTCCAGTGTTTGTTAAAGTCTGAGAAGGGCCAGAAGAGGATGATGGGATACCAAACTTGAAGGATGAGGCTGCTGGGTTCGAAGATGAGGAAGCTGTGCCAAAGCCTTCAAAAACATAAAAGACATCACAAAGACAAATAATTAACATACTCATCCTCACAAATACAAAGCAAATCTTGAAAGCAAAAGTTACATAGGAGTTAACAGCAGCAAACATAAACCAAGGAGACCAGTATTCGGTATGTTTTCATCTATCAGAATGGCAGAAACAAAATTGATCAAGTTCATGCTGGTGATGAACTTGGGAACAACATGCACTCTTACATATTGCAGGGGGGGGGGCCAGTAGGTGATGTGGTGGTTAAGACGCTGGAATTCCCACATGGGCGACCACGGTTCGAGTCTCGAACCTGGCAACTTGCTCTCTGTCTCTCTCTGGCAAAACTCATGTGAAAAAAATAATAATGAATAAAACAATTATTTAAAAAAAATATTGCAGGTGGGTATGTGATTATTTTGTATATTTCAGGAGGATGTGTAAATCTGCACAGAACTCAGCGTCAATCTGTCAATATTTACTAAAAAGTATAAACACACATTGCTCTTTACCAAATAGCTGGGATTTTATTTTATTATTATTTAGCTGTTTTTGCCTTAGGGCGCATGCTCTGATCATAGAGAAAGATAAAGAGAGGGAAAATAAGAAATCACCCCTTAGAGGGGATGGCCACACCGCAATCCCGTCTCCTCCTGGGTCTTGGGGTTGCACACACATGTGCCCAGCATGAGTTTGAAGTCTCTGGGTCCAGGACTTGAACCATGGTGGGCTATGTGGGAGTCCAGTGACATAACCATTACACCATCTGCTAGTCCCAGTTTTGTCTTGGTGTTAATAATTATTTTTTATTTAGACAGTTGTTTTTCTTGGGCACACTCTGGGAAACCCAAATCTGACTTACTTCAAGTAAGGTTCTAGGGCTATAAATTCCCAGTCAAGTTCAGTCAGAACATTCAGCTAGCGGGTTCACAGTTAAAACAGACACAACAGGGACCAGTAGATGGTGTAATGGCTATTTCACTGGATACCCACATAATCGACCGCAATGTGATTCCCAGACCCAGAGGCTTGAAACTCACACCCAGCATGTGTGTGTGCACGTGCCCAAAATCCCAAGAGGAGACTGGAGGAGAAGGGACTGTGGCGTGGCCATCCTCTCTGGGGGGGGGTGATTTCTCGCTTCCTGTCTCTTTGTCTCTGTCTCTCCAGTGAGTGCACATGTCCTATAGTAAAAACCTCTCTTAAAACAAAAAACAAAACCAAAATAAACCAGATAAACAAAACCTCTGAGAGTAACACAAGGCAGGTCCTTATCCGGCTACAAAAAAGATATCCATCCCACTGCTAACAAGCAAATACTTCTAAGAATTCAGAGACAGATGTGAACTGAACAAGCTCAGGAGACCACCTCCTTTTACGTGAATTTTCAATGGGAGGAATAATTTTAAAAGTAAAGCTGTTGACAGACACCTCACTTGTAATGGCATTATGAGGGGCATCTTGCTGTCAGTGTACCTTTGAATTCAGATTTTGTGCCTGGCTTTGCACCTGCACAGGCCGCACACTTGGTAGCATCTGCTTTGTTCTGTACCAGGCACACCTCGCAGTCCCAGCTGCCCTCCGGCTTCTTGAACTTGTCCAATCCTAGGCAGCCTCCAGGAGTCGGAGAGACCACTGCAGCGCTGCTACTTGAAGTAGGTACTGCACTTCCTAAAAATTAATGGAGGAACTCATGACTACCTTAATTTAATTGTCAGCATCTTCACCAACACAAGTGTTCAATTTGTGTTTCCTACTAAGACAAACAACGTCAGAAATGTGAACATTACATTGTTATAAATGGGAAAGACCTCTCAGACTTCTTTTAACCTTATAAATAAGCAGTTTGTATTAACCTTGCTCAGGAGCAAACTTCCCTCATTTGAAAAAATGTTCCTATTCCAGACAGCACATGCACATGACAGGCAGTGCAAGCCAGAGCAAGAGCAGTGCTCCCTGAGCACTCCACATTCTCCGTCCTCCACTCCTGCCCTTCACCCATCCCACCAGAACCCGACGCACATGCGCACACACGTGGCGTGTCTAAGTTGTAGAGGCCTGGATCTGAACATGGCTGGCCATGTGGGGTCTGATTCGCTATGCTAACTTAACCACTACTGTGTGGAACCAGCCTTAGCTTCCCTCTTAACCTCAAGTTTTATATATTCTGGTTTAATTAAAAAAATGTAAAAAAAGGAAAGGGAAAGGTTAAGGGAAAGCAGGAACAGGAACGGGAAAAAGGGAAGGGAAGGGAAGGGAAGGAAAGGGAAGGGAAGGGAAAGGAAGGAGAGGGGAGGGGAGGGGAGGGAAGAGTAGTGTAGGATAGGAAAGGAGTAATGTTCACAAACTAAAAGCCTAAAAAAACAAATGGTCCTTAACAATCTTTGCCAAGGGTCAGCCCAATAGCCAGGTGGTTAGGTAGCTGGATCCCACATGGCCAACTGTGCGACTGAAGTCCCACACCCGGTGACTGGAGAAGCACACCGAGCACACACACGTGTATGCCCCAAATTTCAAAAGGATGGAGAAATGAAGAAGGAGCTGCAGTGTTACTACCCCAAGGGGTTGCTTTTTCCCTGTCCCACCCTGCATCACCCCACAAGTATACATGCCCTCTGGCAAAAGCAAAAACTTCTCCAATGTTGTCAAATGAGGGACCCGCAGATGGTGTAACGGTTACATTGCTGAACTCCCACATAGTTGACCACAGTTCGAGTCCCAGACCCAGGCGCATGTGCATGCGTTCTCAAAACCCTGAGAAAAGAACGGAGCTTGAGAAGGGGTTAAGGCGTGGCCATCCCGAGGAGAAGGGGTGCGAGGGAGGGAAGAGGGGTGCTTTCTTGCTGTGTCTCTAGTGAGTGCACATGTCCTGATAGCAAAAATACCTCTCAAATGCACACACACACACACACACACACACACACACACACGTACTTTTTTTTTTAGCCAATGGCACATATAGTACTTGAAGACATGAGAAGGACACTGTAAGGCCAGCAGGTGGCTCAGTGGTTAAAGGCACTGGACTACAACCAGGTTGACCATGGTCCGAGTTCCAGACCTGGTGATTTGAAACTCATGCTAGGTGCATGTGCGCAAAATCCTGAGAGGAGAATGGAGGAGGAGGAATTATGGCATGGCCATTCCCCCGGGGGATGATTTCTCACTTTCTCTCTCTCTGGTAAGCACTCATACTCTCACAGCAAAAATCTGTCCAAAATAATAACAAGTAAACCGTAGGCAATAGCCTAACACAAAATACGTAACCACAGACCACTTCAAGGCTGGAAAACGCAAGTCCCTGCCTTTGAAATGATCGTTTCTGTACAGAAAATTTCCTTCATCCTCTTTACAGTTCAGCTTGACACCTACCATGTCCTCAACAGTCCTGCTACAGCCTACCATTTAACTAGCACCATAATATACTTGCGTTCTGGTCCATAAAGATGAATAAAATGTTACTTAATTTCTAAGATCTAAGGGTGAAAAAGAAAACAAAATGCACAGTAATTCCAGGACTGTGCGACGAGCGATCTAAAACTAGTATATCAAGAAGGAGAAAGTAATGGAGAGCAGGAGAGAGATTCAGAGGCGATCATTACACCCTCGCTGGGGTGAGCGGTCTGCGGAGGAGTGGCAGGAGAGAAGGCGTGGCGAAGCGCTGTGTGCACAGTGTCGTGGAGAGCCATCCATCGCAGGGTCCCCGCGTGCGGTCACCCTGCCCACAACCTGACCGCTCAGCGTTACGGGTGTGCTCTCCACATGCAGACAGAACTCTGCCTGGGACTTCAGCTTTGCTCCAGCTGCCTTCTCCTCAGCTTCCTACCCTGGAGGCTTTAAACACCAATGTTTTTCTTGTCTGTCTCTGCACGCACTTTCCTGCTCCTTAGTCTTGTTTAGAGGCCCCCAAATTCAGTCGCTTTCAAATGTGTTCGACCAGAGCTAACAGGTGGTATAGTGGTTCAATGTGTTGAATTCCCACGTAGCCAACCATGGTTGAGTCCTGGACCTGGTGGCTTGAAACTCAGGCCAGGTGCATGTGTGTACATGCCCAAAATCCCCAAAAGAGAATGGAGAAGGGATTGCAGCGTGGCCATACCCCCTGGGAGGTGATTTCTCACTTTGGGTCTCTGTTTCCCCAGTGAACACAGGCACATTAGAGCAAAAAAAATCTCTAAAAAAAATAAACCCACTATTTCCCCCAAATCTACCAGTATGGTGTCTCAAAAATGCAAACTGAACAAATCATTCCACTTCTGAAAATGATGGGTCATCATTTACAGGGTCAAGTTCAAGCTCTTTTTTTTTGAGAGATTTTCACTGTAGGGCGCGTGCGCTCGCCAGACAGACAGAGAGAGACATAGAGACAGAAAGCGAGAAATCACCCCCCCAGGGGGGATGGTCACGCCGCAATCCCTTCTCCTCCATTCTCCTCTCGGGATCTTGGGCACGCACGCACATGCGCCCGGCTACGTGGGAGTCCAGCGACATAGCCATTATGCTAACTGCTGGTTCCAAGTTCAAGCTCTTTAACACATATACGATCATCCTTTGTTCATGTCCAACAATTTACTTCTGACAGTTTTATTACTCTCCCCAACTGAGAACTAATTTTGATTCCCTACATACATGGAGACTTTTTTTTTTTTTTTTTTTGCCATAGGGGACAGCTGCTCACCAGAGAGAGACAGAGACAAAGAGAGGGAAAGTAGGAAATCATCCCCCATGAGGAGATGGCCACACCCCAATCCCTTCTCCATTCTCCTCCTCTCAAGATTTTGGGCACGCATGCACATGTGCCTGGCATTTTTAAGCCTCTGGGACTGGGACTCGAATCATGCTTGGCTATGCAGAAAAGCAGTGCTCCAGTGCTCCAACCACCATGTCACCTCCTAGCCCCAAGGCCATTTTTTTTTTTTTTTTTAAGTGAGGAGGGGGCACCAGATGGAAAGAAACATATTTCAGAATAAAAGTTCTGAAATCTTTTTATGGAAATGCGTAGGGGGAATTAGAAAAATGGCTCGAGTGCTAAGACACGGGATCTAGGCTGATAACTCAAAGCTCTATGTAAGACACAGAACTATGAATCCAGGAGTAACACGACAAAAACAGGAACCCCTGTTTTTCCCAGAATTTTCCTATGCTTCATTTAGTACCCACGTCACCACCGACCTGTACCATACAATTATACGATAGTACTAGGAAACCAGCAGCGCATCACTTCCAGGTTCAAGACCGCTGTGAACCTACAGTAATCCTTCTAACTCTGAACAGAGGAACAGGAAAAACTCAAACCTAACTCTATTTTCACACTGCCTAAGTTAGAATTTGTTTCTTCAAAGTTCTGTTAACTCTCATTGCAACATCTTTTGCCGACACCACATGGTTACAGGGAACACCAGTAGTTAGCTATCTTCTCAAAGAGCACTACTGCTTTCCCCTTAAATCGTTCTCAGTCCAGCACAGGTGGTTCCCTGGACTGAAGTACCAGGAGACATGTGGTCCATCCTGAGTTCAGATCCCTCGGTTGGCCTGAAAACACACCTGGCACACAGGTGCCCAAGATCCTAAAGAGCTGGGGGGCCTGAGGAAGGGGGTAGTGGCATGGAGGGACTCTGCTGAGGGTTTAAAACAGAAAGACAAAAACCCTCCCAGAAATGACAACTAGCTATCGTTATTCCGTCAGAGAAACAGACAAAGTGGATTTACTCTGTATGAAAGTGTGAGAAAGACTGCTCATTGCAAGATCTTTCAGCATCTACATTAGTCTACTTTGAAAGTGATCATTTAGAGCAACAAGCTTCTAATAAAACTGCACAGAAAAATTGACAAGACGTGTTAATATGCAACACACCTGAAGTGTGTCTGAAGATCAAGCCTCAGGCAAGTCACTTTAACCTCAAGATAGTTTAGAAAATGAAGATGCGGGCCAGCTGGTGGCAATGGTGGTTAAGACAGCTGACCCCACACTGCCAACTACGTGGTTTGAACCCCTGACCTGGTGGCTTGAGAAACATGCAGAGCACGTTGCGTGCACAGCCCAAATCCCCAAAGTAAAAACAGAAAAGGGACTACTGCACAGCCAAATACCATGGGGAGGGCTTTCTCACTTTCCCTCTGTCTCTCTCTCTCCCCAGTGAGGGCACACACCCTCTGGCAAATTAAAAAAGAATTTAAGAATCAGAAACATTAAGATACGTGAGAAAATGACCATCCTGAAACATGTAAAGTCCTGGGACTGCTCTTGGTTGTTCTTAACTGTTCACAGAGAATTAAAGTGTTCTACTAAGTAAGAAGCAAAATGACTCCATTCAGCCACGGACTCACCTGCTTTCTCAGACATACAGGCCACACACTTATTGTCTTCTGCGTTATTAGAAACACAGCACACTGGACACTCCCAGGATCCCACGGGCCTTTTGAACTTATCTCCAAACCCTAAGGTGCCAGTGGTCACAGTGCCGCTGGGAGCTGACGCAAGCACAGTCACAGCACTTTCTGAAGCCACCGGCAACGTGAGGACCCGCTTCACGCCAGTGCCAGGCTTCGGGGTTTCACAGGCGACACACTTCGTCACTTCAGGCTTGTTCTGCACCAAACAGGTATCACAGTCCCACGTTCCTGCTGCTGGCTTAAACTTGTCCCCGAAGCCTGTCCCTGGTGCAGGCGCTGCTCTGCCACTCTTACTTGGGGTCCCAGTTCCAGTCTGTGTAGCAGCATCTCCTGGTGGTGATTTCGCCGCCTGACAGGCTACACACTTGCTGTCTGTAGCTCTGTTCTGGACGAGACACGTGTCACACTGCCACGATGATCCTGCCTTCGAGCTTTCTCCAAACCCAATTCCACTAGAAGAAAAGCTACTTATGGCTGGTCTTGTATAAACCACCGAGCTCGTCGTGGTAGGCGGGGTAGCAAAAGAGTCTACCTTGGGTGATGTGAAACCTAGGTGCAGGAGAGGAGAGTAAAAAATGAAAGGATTAGACAAGCTTTCTAATGAGAGCACTAACCACAATAGTCTTTCTGGAGAAAACACATTCACCTTACTGTGGGGTTACTCCAATCCAAGGTGGACGGCTTAGGAGTGGCTTTTCACCTTGGCGGTCATGTGTACTCACCACACATTTAATATGTGACACTCAGACCCAGTCACAATTCCACAAAGGATGTTTTGATTACAGTGCATGACCCTCTCCCTTAGGAGTTTCTAGTGGGACTCTTTCATTTACACAGCCTTACTGGCAGACCGACTGTCGTCCATCTTGTTACCCCTGCCTTCCTGTAGCACTGAACCACAGCATGCCGAGCCTCCCTCCCTCAGGTGTTCATATACACTCTGAATTTTGTCCAGCCACAATCCATTGTTATGGTATCCTCACCCTTAGTTAAAAAAAAAAAAAAGAGCTGAGCTGTAATTATTTCACAGATGTCCCTCCACAGTCAACAGGATGGGTAACAATTATTTTTAATTACAGTAAACTCATATTAAGTTTTAGTACAGTCATGGTTCAATGACAGATACAATGAGAAATGCTCACGGAGATGCACCAAACCCTCAGAAAGGCCCAGAGACCCAGTAATGAAGGCCCAGCCTGCTTTCAGAGCAGGAACTCAGGCAACTCAACCACACGCTCACACGAGGTCAGCAAGCAAGCTCCCTATGCGACTGTCTCCAAGGTCTCCCCAGTGGAATGTCAGCAAGCCTTCTACACAGTAAGCACATCAGAGTGGACTGAGACAGAGTATTCACACAGAACCATGTCCCTGGGGGAAGGGGTGTTCTTTGTGCCACCTATTTGTGGACTTCTATTCATTCTCTTCAAAGAAGTACTGGTCCTATGTATTGACAACTGAGAAAATGCTATCTACTTGGCCTTATTCCACATATATCACATTGGGCAATAACCTGACATTTTGGAACCCTCATTAGAGAAAGATGTGTCTAGGTGTAATATCAAAGTTTATTTACTAGTGTTCTATATTCAATTTCTCCTTCTAAACATGCCTCCCAGAGATTTAATTTTAGTACTCAAGAGTCCTCAAATTATAAGACAGTAAGTAAAGTTTCTAAGACATTTCCCACAAAGGAATTATATTTGGTTACACCTACATTCAGAGTTCAATCCTTCAAACTATAAGTGGTTTCTAAAAAGCCTTAAGTCTAACACCGAAGACAGTGAGATGAGATCACGCGTCTGTACTGACACTAGGACTGCTCAAAGGCCACCACTAACATACCAGGGCTCTTCAGAATATCCAGAACACTTCCTTCTTTCAGGGTTTTCGCAGGTCCGAAAGGGCCCATGCAGTCCTCGTCTGCCTTCTTCTTACAGCTCGTACTTTTCGCTGCACTGGTATCTTGAGCTGCTATTCATTTTTTTAATTATAAGAGAAATTATGTCAAGAAAAAGCCCCAAACTCTTGTCAAATGCATTTTTTAAAAAATCTTTCAAAACCAACTCTTTCACATCAATTTCTTTTTTTTTAGAAGAATTTACTTAATTTTATTTATTATTATTACTTTTGTTATAGGACATGTGTGCTCACCAGAGAGAAAGAGAGGGAGGGAAGGAGGGAGGAGATGGGGAGATGGGGAGAGAGGGAGAGAAGGAAAGAACACACGCGCCTCTAGGGCCAGAAGTGAAACCACGGTTGGCCACATGCGAGTCCAGCGCCTTAACCATCACACCACCTGCTGGTCCCTTTTACACCAATTTCTAAAACTTCAAGAAGGAAGTCACCATAACACAAAAATAATGAACACATGATTTCAAAAAGTACAGGATTAACTTGCTACTACAAAAAAATATATATATAAACATGTCTCACACTGTCCATTCCCCAACAAAAACATAAAAAATATAAACTGTAATGGTAACTCTAATGACTTCACAGATAATCAAGAGAATCACTGCCACACTGAAGAGGATACTGCAACGGGAACTAGCCCAGCCACTGGGTGAAATACATATTTAATTATACAAAAGCTTATACCGACCAATAAAAACCTTCCTAGTGATCTTCAGGGGCCAGACAATGGCACAGTAATAAAACGCCATGCTCTCCCCCACGGGAGATAGCCATGCTACAATCCCTTGTCCTCCATTTTCCTCTCAAGAAATTGGGTGTGGGCACACAGACGCACACCCAGCGCAAGTTTCAGGCTACCAGGTCCAGGACTCAAACCGCAGTTAGGTAAGTGGGAGTCCAGCAAAATAACCATTATGTCAGCTGCTGCTCCCCCAAATAAATAATTCTTAAAAAAAAAAAAAAAAAAAAAAAAAAAAAAAAAAGTTGCAGTAGGGCCAGCCTGTGGCATGGTCAAGGTGGCTGGATCCCACATGGCTGACTCCATGGTTAGAGGTTTGGACCTGTGGCTTGAAAAACATGAGGGGCATATTGGCGTGTGTACACAAAATCTTGAGAGGAGAATGGAAAAGGGATGGCAGCATGGCTGGGGTGCTTTGTCATTCATTCTCAGTCTCTCTGGTGAGTACACGGGTCCTACAGGAACAAATAAAAACAAGGAAAACTAAAAGGGGAGGGGGAAGGCCTACCACAAAATGATTAATCCTGTCAAACACATTTTCATTCAGTTTTTTTTTTTTAAAAAAAGATTTATTTAACTTTGTTATTATTTTTTAATTTTTTAATTTGACCAGTAAGGGACAGAGAGACACAGAGGAAGGGAAAGTGAGAAAGCAAGCCACCAGGGCCGGGATTTGAACTGTAGTCAGCATTGTAGGAGTCCAGAGCTGTAACTACCTCACCACTTGCCAGCCCCCCTCAATCAGCTTCACTGTCAACACAGTGAGAATCAGAGGTGTCAAAGTGAGGACAAAGCTGTGTATGTGTCACTCACAACCAACCCCTTGCAAATCTGGATAATTTCCCAAGATGCAATGAGATATAAAGCTATTTTAACAAATTATTACTCTTAGGTTACCATATATAAAAATTGGGCATTATTTTAATGTCTTTTTTCATAAGAAGTCATGAAATTAGAAATTCAAAGAGTTTACTTGTCTTGAATCCATAGTATCATTAAAGAAAACACTCTGTGGTTAGAGATACACACAAAACTGCTTATTACTTAAGTTGCATGGGGCATTTCTTCCAGTAAGAAACAGATCACAACCACATTGGCCAAATTCCTATCTTGTTCCACCCTAATCTACTCTCTCATCTTTCAGATTATCCAAAATAAGAGACTTTAGATTCTGTATCTTGGCTCTTTTTTTCAATCCTTCTTTGAGGAATGATGTACTTTTTTTTTTTTTTTTTTTTTTTTTGAGGGGCCTAATTTTCTAAAATTCCAAACCTTGGGGACTCAGACGGTGTTGTGGAGGTAGGTAACGCAACGCTCTGTGAGGGTGACCCACGGGAGGGTTCCCGACTTCTTCCTGGAGACCTCCTGGAACATGTTAGGCACCAGGTGCCCATGATGTGGGGCAGGCTGAGCTGGGGATGGGCTGCGGCCGGCCCGCGGACCCTGCTGGGGGTGACTGTCTGCCTCACTCATGGGAAAAAGAGGTAGAGTGGACATTTAAAAAAATCCCAAACTCTCAGGTATTGAAGAAGCACTCCCCACACCAACTGCTGTCTCTGCTGACAATCGGCTTTTCTCACCCACCTCTTCAACACTGCGGCTGCCATACCCCACACCCAACTCCTCCACATAAAGATCATTCAGTGTCTCCCTACTACATTCCATTCGGAATAGCATTCAACTCTTTCATTTATAATTCAAGAAATTACAGGACTTGAAGTATCCTTCTAACCTCACGACAAATTATCCACAGTTCTCAAAGTATGCCACACGTTGGTGGCGTTTCTTAGGTGAAATTCCCTTGGATCAAAATTCTTAACCTGAGTAACTCAGTCTAGATGTCTCTGATTACCCAAACACCAAAAACTCAGAAGAAAACCACAACTACACCACAATAAGATGCTGCTCTAGTTACCTGATTACTCATTTCCTTCAATCAATGTCAATTTCTTCAGTTCAAAAATTATTAACATCTGCACAGATCAGCATAACCTTGCACATAAAAATGCTGGTGAGGCCGGACTTTCCACACAGCAGTTACGGGCCATGCACAGGGAGCTGGCTGGCTCCAGCTCCGACTCCAGCCCTGGTGGCTTGAAAAGCACGCTGGGCAAAACATGCTGGGCATGCATGTGTTCATGGTCAACGTCCTGGCAGGATAGAGAAAGGGAGGAAAAGAACTGCAGAGAGACCATGTCCCATGGCGCTTCCTTTCTGTGAGTCTGTCTCTCTGGTGAGCACGCATACCAGCTGACAGTTAAAAGAAAAGCATGTGAACTAAACGGTAAACCCACAGAAGGAATATACAATTATAATGCAAACAACCTTTACATTTCTTACAAGACTTCCTTTATAACAAACTGTTGCCTTATTTTGACTAAGTAGACAGTCCACAAGTGTGCTATTGGGACTGTGACTACCTCCTTAAAAGGAAAGGTGACGTAACATTTACATTTAGGGAGCTAAAGACTGCTGAGGGTAACAGATAAAAAGGATTGCCAAATGGCTGATATAAGAGAAGATATTTAAAAGAAGGTATTTATTTATAAGAATTATCAAAAGTAAACTAACATGATGTACTAGTAAAATACTGTTTTTATGTTAAGTATCTACAAGAAATGTTCACTTACTTGAATGACTTATGATTGGTTCTGAAGCACTACTGGAGCCAGAGAGATCTACTGTTTTTGCCACAGGCACACTAAACGTAAATCCAATCTGTGAACAGAGAAGAGATCTATGAGGTGTCAATTTAGTTTTAAATAGCAAATACAGGCCTTACATTTTTTCCAAGACCAAAACATATCCTAGGATTAACAGTTTTTTATTTTTTATAATCTCAAAAATTGGGATTGTCTTCTCCAATGGCATATCAGTTTAATAGGCAGCTTTTTTTTTTTTTAAGGCATGTTTTTCCATTCAAAATAGTCCATAAAAAAGTGTGTTCCTAATACCTAATTCTGGGTTTCTGGATGTTGCTTTCTAATAAAGAGCATGAGATCTTTAGGACAGCTGATGGATTTCAGGTACACAGCAAAGAAGTTACATTTGATCTGCTAGTAACCTCCAGTTGTGACAGAAAGATGGGACATAATAAAAAATGAAACATATTGAAACAATTCACGGGGCCAGCAGATGGAGTAATGGTCACTTCCCAGGACTCACACATGGCCAACTGTGGTTCGATTCCCGGACCTGGCGGCTTGAAAATCTTGCTGGGCATGTTGTGTGCCCGCCCCAAGATCCCGGGAGGAGGATGGAGAAGGAGTACTGGTGCGGCCATCCCTCCCACCAGGGGATGATTTCTCACTTTCCCTCTCACTGTCTCTGTCTCTCTGGTGAGCACACGTGTCCTAAGGCAAAACCTCTTTAAAAAAAAAAAAAAAAAAAAGATACCCATGAGAAATCTAGGGAAATTTGAACATTAAATTCATGTATTAATCTTAGACCTTAATCATGAAGATGCACACATATTGCGAGACATAAAAACCTTCCAGAACTTTTCTATATTAAAGGTAATTCAAGAGATATTTTAACTAAATGCAGGACGATTGAAGGTGATGAAGGTCTAGTCTTCAACTGAACCTAAGACCAACAGAAATAAAACAGGAAGGAGAGATCGCCTGAGATGATGGGGAGCTGAACATGAAGGTGCTGTTCTCGCACGCGAAGTGCCTCGGGACAGGCACTACTGAGGGACGGCGACACGGTGCCCTTTAATCAGGGGCTGCAGAAGCACTGAGGGAGGAGAGGGCTGCATGTAACTTCCAAGTAGCATAGGAGAAACAGGGTACACCGATGCATATACACACAGGGAAGAATGTAACTGCTATGTTGTTTGTATGTGGAGTCTTTTAAGTTGGAAGAAACACAGCAGTGTTTCTTATGACTAACGGCATCTGAGATGCGATAAAAATACAGCGCGGTTCAAAGCTGATAAACATGGCAGGTCTGCTGCTTGGTACTTACAGATGACGGAGGTAGTACCTCTGCCTCAGTAGACTTTACAATCGGAGATGAAAATCTGAACACGGGGCTGCCAGTGCTGCTGGGAGAATTCATCTGTACCTGGTTTCCCAGATCACAAACAAATGACACAAAAATAACTACTGAGAAAAAGAAACTGACAATAAAACAGATCTTAAACAGTTATCCCAAGAAGTAATTTTTTTTTCCCTTTTAGGTTTGAAAATCACTTTGTAACATGCGGAGAAAACTGACTTGACGGCTGTGAAATATGGCTTCTGGCCCAGTCATGGCTGCACCGGGATCAGGGCACCACTGTGCAATGCTTAAGCCAAACGTGGCCGTCTCGGGGCTCGGGGCTCAGGCTGCGCGTAGCACTGGGAGTTCCCATGATCCTAAATGGTTAGAGGGCCGGGTTGGGTAGACTAAGCCAAGTAAGACCCCTCTGAGGGTCACTGTCTCTGTGTCTTTGTCACAAGAAATAAATGTAAAAAAAAAAAAAAAAAAACAAGAAAGGAAAATCTGGCCTCCTCTGGGAATAGAGTATATATAAGAGAAGTTTAAATATGTCGGTTTTACCCAGGAAGTAGAAACTTAAGTCCATTCTTACAAAAAAATATATCTTACTGTGTGGAAACAAACATAACTACCCCTTCTCTAGCGGAGCTGAAGAACTGTCCCACCATAGTACACCCAAGGCATGCACACATCAGGGGAGAGACAGCGAACATTTCCATCCCCCCCGCCTACTATGCGTTAATAATTCCAGTGAAAACTAAAACAGCTCCAGATACGAGCATTCAATTTTTAAAAGGACAAAACAAAATCCCCCTCTACTTATGCCATGGTTTCGTACCTTGTTTGTTAGTGACTGAGGACCGACTGGTGATGGAGAGGAAGTTGTGACTGCAGGAGAACTGAAATTGAAGGTAGGCAGTGCAGAACTGCTGATCGGGAGAGAGATTTTCGGTAATACTGGTACTTCCATTTCCTAAAACACAAGTTTGATAATGCTACGTTTCATCTGCCATGCCATCCTTTTATCTCTGTTTATTTTCAGGGGAAAACATTAATGGTATAGGGACATTTAGAATAGGAAGAAGGGGGTCCAGTAGGTGGTGTGGTGGTTAGGTTAGAGGACTGGACTCCCACATGGCCAACCACAGTTCAAGTCTCAGACCTGGTGGTTTCCCTTCCACACATCTCCCTCCCCCCATATCTGGTAAAATTAAAAAATAAATAAATAAAAAGATATTTTAAAGAAGAACAGAAAGGTAGTACCATACCATGATGGCAATGTGAGCTCTTGAAACAACAACAAAAAAACTTGAACCCCCATCTGTGCCACCAACCAGCCTCGTGACTCTGAGAACCTAACTACCCTGAGCGCCAGTTTCCTAATTGGTAAAAATGAGGAAAAGAAAACTCTTCTCTCTATATCAGAGTTGTGGTATTGACAGGAGTCATGAAATATACAGTCTTGGCATGTAAAGTAAGCATTTGATCACAACCCAACAGAACCAAGACTGACCCAAGTCTCCAAGACCCAGAGTAAGAGCAATTAAAATGAGTTCTACGTATGCTAATGGTGAAGTCGCTTGTATCTGACCAGTGCCCCGATGATTAGAAACTGGAGAAAAAGTACAAACAACGATCTGAAAACACTTTGCAGCAACGAACAGCGGCAAGACCTGGGTGGGGGGACACCTGGAAGAAGGTGCACTGTGTAAGCTTCCTGAGCTCGTGCCACCAGACAGAGAAACCCTAACCAGAAAAGGGCGAGTATACAGACTGAGGAATGAGAGGACCGTCTAGGCGACTACAGCAGTAGAAAAGGAGGGAAGATGTAGGAATAAAGAGCCACAGAAGGGGAATGCCTAAGTGCACGGAAACTGCCAAACCCACGGAGCCCTGTACACTACGCAGGGGAGAGACAGGCACCACTGCCTCCTCAGAGGAGTTTGAGTTCAGGTAAGTTCAATGCCAGCTGAAACAATCTGAACAATTCAAATGGATGCAGTCTGAGGCATATAAATCACACCTCAATAAATGATCCAAAAGTGAAAGGCAAAATACAGAGATTCTCAGACAAAATGAAACTTAGAACCTGTTACCAGAAAACCAGCTCTGCCAGTTCTTTAGGCTGTACGGAATGATACCAAATGGGAGCGCAGATTTCAGAAAGCGTGAAGAATATATTCTAGCTTGTGCTATGCATGCTCACATATTCGAGGGTAAAGTGTCCTGACATCTCCCACTTACTCTGAAATGCACCCTCAGAAAAGATAGGTGGGTATTTATCTGTAAGCAAATATTTGTATAACAAACTGAGAACTGAGTGCTACACATATACATGCATTGTACAATCTTTCAACACTTCATGCTTGAAACTCACCATAACCGATGGGGAGTGGGTAGCAAGCAGAAGGTCTATCTGGCTGCTATGTAGGGAAGCTTCTTCCCACTCCCACTTCCTGCCTATTTTCTTGCCTTTAGAGAGCCCTGAAAACATCAACCACCTAACCCTCTATCTCTACCAATCGGAAAGCCATGTAGTTGGCTACTCTGGCTCTTTATAGTTTTGAGTAGTTCTATAATTTGATTCCTATTCCCCCTGAATTTTGACTTAATAGATCCTAAGTGGGTTCCACTAATGTGTGGGAGAAGGCCAAAAATTCTGCTACCTGGATGCTTGCAGACTCCATGAGACTGAACAAACCAGTCACCACATACTCGACCACTACTATACGCTTCTGTAACAACTGTACATGAGTCACCCACACGAGGCAGGTGTACGTACTGCTGCAGGTGAAAGAAGGGAGGAGACAAGGAGATACACGGCCTATATATCTATGTATATATAGTTACCTATATACATAGTTACCAAATGGAAGACACCCGACAGTCTTTTTTCCTAATTTTTTTTTTAATTGTCAGAAGGTTCATTCACTTGCCAGAGGAGTCAGGAGAGGAGACAGATAGCAAGTATGGTCACCATACAATCCCTTCTCTCCCTTTTCTCCATCCCTATTAGGATTTTAGACATTCACACACGTGTGCCCAGCATGTTTTCAAACTGCCAGGGCCAGGACTTGAACTGTAGACAGCCATAAGATCTGGCTTCCCTTCACCGCTAGGCTACAAGGCTGGCCCCAGACAATCTTTATACATTTATTCTTATTCTCACTTTTCTTTTAAGAAAACTGAGAAGGTAACAAGAGGTTAATTTGACCAAGGTCACTCAACTAGTATGGAGCAAGATTATACATGATAATAGTAAGAAATTAAATCTCTCCAAATTCAGTCCTATATATATTGCTTACCTATTCTAAGTGAGGTCTTTAATTATTATAAAAACACAGGGGACCAGCAGAGGGTGCAGTGGTTACATCACTGGACATCCATTTAGTTGATCACAGCTGAGTTCCAGACCCGGCAGCTTAAAACTCACACCAGACCTGACTGTGTGCATGCCCAAGATTCCAAGAGGAGGATGGAGAAAGGATTGCAGCAGGGCCATCTCCCCTGGGGGGTAATTTCGCACTTTCCCTCTCACTGCTTCTCTCTCTCTCTCTCTCTCTTTCCAGCAAGCATGTGTGCCTTAAGGTAAAAACCTCTTTGAAAACACACACACACACAGATTGGTATCACAGTGCAGGCAAAAGGCTAATAAATTTACTGACCAGTCACTACACATCTTGGAATCAAAGACAGGAAGGAAGGTGAAACACACTCTCACTCCCTCTATTGCAAAATGGTCATTTTAAATAGGAAGTACTAGACACCTGAATGTTTGGTCAATCCAAGAACACTAGGGCCAGGGCCAGCCCTACCATGCACCAGGTAAGCAGTGTCAGGGAGCAGACCCCACAAGACCAGCTGTGCTTTAAACCCCAGCCCTAGTAGCTTGAAAAACACAGAGGGTATAGGTATGTGCATGCCCAAAGTGTGACTGGATGGAGAAATGAAAAGGAAAGAAAAAGGACTGCAGCATGACCAGGTCCCAGTAGGGGTACTTCCTCTCTCTCTGCACGCTGCCTCAAGTATTGATAAAATTATACCAACTCCGGCTAAGTAGCAAGTGTACACAAAATTAGTATAATCTGTTTACTTTCCATTAAAAATAAGTTACTGCCATTTGATCTTTCTTGAAGGCCCATTAAAATACTCACAAAAATGAATCTTTGATCTTTTACCAAAAATTCCCACTAAGTATGACTAAACCAAGAGAGAGCCTGTGGTCTGAACATACTCGGCCTCTCAAACAGAGAAGCAGCACTGTACTCAGGTAAGTCCACCCGTGCCCACACCTCCTCTATCTTGGTCAACACAGTGGGCAGGAAATTCAGGCAGCCATCCCATCATCACGCTGCCGGGGAGAGTGCAGGCCCTAATTCCAGTGCGGAACACAGCTGGGGTGGGAGGGTCTGGGCACGGTGGGTGTGAAGTCAGCAGTGGGTCAGAATGGAGAGGGGAAGTGATAATGAGGGCCAGTGGGGGGAGAGTTCTTCACAGAACTCCTCATAGTGTACCAGATGATGAAAGCAAAGTGAGTCATCAAAATCAAATTATAGGGACAGCAGGGCCGTGCAGTGGTTAAGGAACTGGACTCCCACACAGCTGACTACAGTTTGAGCCACAGATCCGGCAGTTTGAAAATCATGCTGGGCACATGCATGTGCCCGCCCGAAATCCCAGGAGGAAAATGGAAGAGAAGGCATTGTGGCGTGGCCATCCCACCTGAAGGGTGATTTCTCACCTTTCCTCTGTCTGTCTCTGGTGAGCACACTGTGCCCTATGGCAAAAACCTAAAAACAAAAACAACAGCAACAAATACAAAACAAATTACAATAAAACCAAAATACTGTTTGAATATGCAAGTCACACTAAGCAATCTACAAGATAGCCAAAATTAAGATACAGACATCGGCATTAGCTTCAGCTTAGCAGCATAGGAATTTATTTTTAAAGACTGAAAACTGGTGAGAAATTAGAAAAATCTACACTGGGACCTAGCAAAAACCAAACAAAGCTAACGTTTCTCTCTCAAATATGGATATACTTTAGGAAAGGAAAGGTCACTAATTCTACTGAGAAATACATAATCTTGTCTGAAAAATAAGCACACGCCATGTGAGTGAGATGCTGAACTCCTTCTTTATATTAGTGTGAGACTAGCCGGTTAGTAAATGTAATCAGTAAAGTACACAAAGAACTTTAATGAGAAGAGACAATAGGTTTGCTATGAAAACTTGAGAATTTCATGCACTGTATGACCAATGGCACTCGGGCCCGACGCTCTCACTTACAGTGGCAGAATGTGCTAACACTCCCCTCTATTCACAGCACCCTGGCAGAACTACGAGTGGAACCTAGGGGAAAGACGGAGCCTGCAGGCTGGTAAGTGAGCCAAGGGCCTAGTACAATACGAAGGAAGACAGGCAGAATATGGCAAGACGTCCAGACTGCTAATGGCGCCATGATTCCAGTGGGCCAGAGGCAAAACAGCAGGTCCGCCAACTGAGAAAAGAAGAGCAAGGTCCAGCTGGGGCAGCACCGGTGTAACACACTAAGCTGCAGTGCCGGAAGCCGCATGGCTGACCACTTCAGATCCCAGTCGACCTGGAACATGCCAGGTGTGTGCACACCCCAAATACTGGGGAATGCTCCGGTAAGGCTAATCCTCTCTCCCCCCTGCCTCCTTTTCTATCAAGAGTGCATATGTGCTCGCTCTTACGAATTCTATAAAAACAATCTTTAAAAAAAAAAAAAAAACCACGTAAGTGAAAAAGGCCTCTCACTCAAAATAGGACACAAAGCAAACACACCAATAGACATGAAAAAAACTAACACTAAGACACCCAACTTCAATCAAAACATGATTTCCAAGTGAACATACGAGACTTGTGTTTAATAGTCTAAAAAGATGGCCGGCCAGGTGGCATGATGGTTAAGGTGGCTGGGTCCCACATGACTGACTGGGGTTTGAGTCCCAGACCCGGTAGCTTGAAAAATGCACCTAGCACGTGTCCAAAATCCTCAGAAAAGAGTTTGCAATGAGGCAATCTCCTCTAGGGAGAGCTTTCTGGCTTCTATCATCCCTCTCTTCATCTCCAGTGAGTGCACATGCCCTATAGCTGAAAAGTAAAATTAAAAAACCCTAAAAAATAGATACCAAGAATATGCATAAGTCAGTAACAAAGTCATAAGTGAACTTTTAATTAGAAACAAGACATTCTGTACCAAATGTTAAATGATACACCTGGGCTGAAACGCAGATATAGAAAGACTGCTGAGGCCTGTGTCCCACACAAAGCAGTTAGAGAATGAAGAGTCCAGTGCCTTAGCCACCACGCCACCTGCTGGTTCAAATTTGTTTGTTTGTTTATTTTTAAGAACACTCATGAAATTGAAGGTACTAGTTTGGACTTCTGGCACCATTCTGGTGGGACCGTTGCAGAGGCAGATCATTTTTGCTCTGCGTTTCCCCAGTCCCTCCTATATATCCCAACCACCACGTAAAAGCCTTGCTAAGCTTCCGAGGAATCGGTATACAAGCCCACCTCCTCCTCCAGAGGTTTAGAAGCGACGACGTGTGCTCGCTCCCGTCTCATCTTGCCACCTCCACCACCGGCTCCGGAAGGTAAACCATTGGCTGCGGGCATACTGAAATTTGGGTATGAAAAACCACTAGCAAAGGAAAAGAAAATTAAAACAAGTGACGTATTATTCTGGTCCAAAACCTAACTAAGTATCTTAAAACTGGAACTACTAACAAGTAAGGAAATAAATGTACAGCTAAATGGGATTTCAAAACCTGACAGCTTTGGTCGTGCCTATTTTTATCATCTTATCTTCAGAAAAGGTTTATGTATGTCAAACATGGACCTTAGAAATTACTATGTGCAATACAGGTTTAGCCACGTGTGAAGTGACATTACCTTTCTCGTTCTCTACTTTGTCCTGGAGCCATGGTTTTTTCATAGCCAGTCTATAAAGACAAAAAAAACCAACAAACCACACGTTCACATGCTGTTAATTTGTTTTAATTTTCTATTACTTTTTTTTCTACAAATGTTACTATTTAGAATTAGGAATTGATGGATTTTTAGACAATGAATCCCGATATTTGCAACTTACGTCCTCCCTTCTGAATGGCAACACAAAGTTACACTGGGATTAAACATGTCGCTGAGCACAACTGTCCTTTCGATGAAATGGTAACATATGGACAAAGGGAATACACTTATCTGTCACAAAAGTACTTTCGCTTGTCTTTCTTTTTGTTAAATTAAAGGTCTAAATCCACTTAAAAGAATATTCCTTTCAACATCATTTTCTCCAACTTAAAAATGCTAATAAAGTATCGTAATCTATTGAATGTACAAATACAAGTTAAAATAATAGGAAAACTCTTCCTTCAGAGTAGAAAGCCAACTAACAGATGCAGAAGAACCCATGGAATTAGAAAACCACCCTGTGGGGGGCCTGTGGGTTGTGTGGGGGTAAGGCAATTGGATCCCACAGGCTGACCATGTGAATGGGAGCCCCAGATCCAGCAGCTTGAAAAACAAGCAGGGCACACACACATGTGTGTGTGTGTATGTGTGTGCATGCGTGCACCCCAAAAACCCAAGAGAACAGACTGATGTGGCCACCCCCCCACGAGGGTAGATTTCTCATGTTTTCTCGCTGGTGAACACATGCGTCCAATAGCAAAAACTTAAGGAAAAAAAAAAAAAAGTGGCAATATTTACTAACATTTTCCAGGCAAGACTCAGCAAGAATGCTAACGCCAGTGGATGTTAGGACTAGGGCAGTTAAAATTTCAAAGCTACCTCCCCACAGGATACTTACTAACTAGAAAAAGTAAAATGTTAACTTTATAGTGGAGACTCCCCCATAGGGACCATGTGACCTAATGACGGCCATGCCAGTCATGGAACAGACTGACAGCATGTGCCTTCGGAACACTGGGAAGAGTGCAGCATCCCATCTTCAAGTGTCACTGCTCAAGTTCATAACCGATCTCTAAGCACAAGGAAATGTCAGACAGCCCCAAACTGCAGGACACCCTATAAGTACACAGGGCATTGTTGTGCTCTTCAAAACATCAGTGTTGTAAAATACAAAAACAAGATAAAACCACCAGAAAATGTCCCAGGTTAAAGTTCATGAAGAGGCATAACAACTGATTACAAGACATAATCCTGGAATGTTTTTCTTTTGGAACTGGCAACATATAAATGAAATCTATAGGCGAGCTAACAGCTTTGCACTAATGCTGTTTTTGGTTTTAGTCATTACTATATAGCATCATGTATGGAATTCCTTGTTTGTAGGAATACAAAGATAAACAAATATCTAGATACTAGAAATTTCCCTTGTGTGGCTGTTAAGTCCAAAAACATTTTTAAATGTCTTAAATGTTAATTAAAGACATTAACATTAAAAAGTTCATTAAAAAGCAAATACGACAAGATGCTATGAATGAAGATAAAGGAGTACATAGGTAAGCAATTTTTTCAATTTTCAGTTTTTCAGAAATTATGTTGATCAAGATTAAATAAATAAAGGAACAAAAAGTAAGTTGCTATTTAAATACAATGAGCATTATCCTTAAAACAACACAAGAGGGACCACCAGGTGGCACGTTAAGGCGCTGAACTCCCACAAGGCTGACGACAGTTTGAATCTTGTACCTGGTGGCTTGAAAATCATTCTGGGTGCATATATGTGTGTGCCCAAAATCCCGAGAATGGAGGAGAAGGGACTGTGGCATAGTCATCTCCCCTGGGGAGTTATTTATCACTTTCCCTCAATGTCTCTCTCCAGAGAGCACATGTGCCCCATGGCAAAAATCTAAACAACAACATTCAAACAAACAAACAAAAAAGACAAACCCGAATGCAGGGGATTTCATAAAACTGGCCTGGTCTCTTTAAGAGCAAACATGCCCAGCCATTCCCCTCCTAGGTATAGACCTAAGAGAAACGAAAACCTGGATGAACCTTTAAGGCATGCTAAATGACTACTGGTGAGCACAGAATTTTCAGGGGCTGTGGGAGATGGTGACAGAAATGTTCTGAAATTGTGTGAATATACTAAAACCACTGAACTAAGGCTTTAATTTTTTTAGATGTTTCTTTCCAATGAACTGGCCATTACATTTCCAAAGTTCTGGAATGACCAACAGACCATGAAAGACATTTCTTTAGGCTCCTGCTTGAAACCAACAGCTTCAACAAACTGCTGGCCTTGATTCAGGGCCAATGCAAGTGAACTTGAAATAGATGAATTGAGGTATGAAAATTATCCCAGAAAATAATAATGTGGCCAGAGTAAGGGTTTGGCATGGCCTACAGAAAATAAAATCAAGGCCATGTGTGAATTTTCCTTGGATCCTGGTTTAAAAAAAAAAAAAAAAAGCTACTTTAAAATGCCTCAATATGGGCTAGATATTAGATAATATTAGCGAATGAAAGTCTTCTTACATAAGACAATAAAGGAGTAACTTAGGGATCAAAAAATGCGACATGTAAAATTTAAGTTCAGATGGAAGTTCAGTAACAACATACTCAAGACACAGTTAAGGCAAATCTGGCCAAATTACTAACTCTAGAAAGTGAGAGTGGACTAGGTTTATTAGTAAACACTAAGAGTCTGATTAAGGCAACCGCTATTTAAAAGGCATACCAATTCAAATCCATCACTAATTCATAAATTTGATGCCTTAGATAATAGTTGCTAGATTACAACAGCAAAGTCCTTGTATTTTACATTATTTGTTTTATTCATTATAACCAATATTCAAATATTGGTGAAAATAAACACATACTCACACTGTGCTTTTTATCAATTCTTTGATTAGTCCTCCTTACTTCACCAGATGGGGTCAGAGATGGTTTGAAATAAACAGTTCGACTGGCTGCTATAGAAATTGGCTTTGGGGTCATGAGTGTTTGAACAGGGGGATACCGAGAGTCCACCTTACAGGCAAAATAGAAGTAAAAGACAAATATTTATTTTCATATATATCAATGATTCATAACCTAAAAATTACCTGAAAATTGCTAATGTGACCTAAAGACCCAGGAGAATATTCTAGAGAAATACCCAGTGGATACAAATAAATACTAGGAAAGAATTCTGACAGTAACAAAATCAAGAGTGTGTATCTGTGTATTTACATACACACACACAAATTTCAAATGGTTTCATAAATACACTCTATTTCATTCTTTATTTAATGACTATTCACACACATGCACACACAAAAAAATGGAACTACATTCAAAGCAGCTCTATAGATTCAAACTTGTACATGGTGAATTTTAAATATCTGAAGTCAGATTGATCTGCCACATTTTCTCCAGACTACTATAGTCCCTTCAGCTACAAACAAGAAGTTTTTTAATTAGCTATAAAAATATTTTAATTCCTAAAAATGCGTGATCAAATCCTTCTCTCAGTTGCTTTTCCTCTGTATTATTTAAAAAACAAGCCAAGCACTTCACAGCATAAGCCTAACTGGTAAAACACTGTTCAGTAATTCCAGATTCTCAAATGAACTGATGTGATTTTCCAAGTACGTGGTGTTTTATGAAAGTATTTTGGTATACTGAAACATAGTAGAAACCCTGTTGGTATAAGACGGACGCAAAGCCGGGAGCTTCTATTCTGTCCAAATATTTTAGTGCTATGAATTGAGGCCTGTCCCTCCGCAGCAGCTGTGAACAGCGCTGGTTTCCAGGGCAAAGCCTCTGGATAGCTGCTAGCTCTTCCCCAAATCCTCATCACAAGTGTGCGCCTACAACGCAGTAGGGCAGTCAGTTCTGCAGACCTAGTGATGACCTCTGTGAGACAGGAAGGAAACAGTTCTCCAGCCTTTATTTCCCAGCACCCACTGACAAACTTGTCCTGATACTACACTACACCATTAATTACATTTTTATTGATAACAATAATATTATGGCACTATTTCTTCCAGAGACATAACCACCACAACATCTGCTGGCCCCAAACTGTGATCATTTTAACAATTACTTTTGGAAAACTTGGGGCCAAAATGAATGCTCTGGGAAGCAGGAACCAGGAATCTACATTCTCTGAAGGATACTTTACCACTCACAAATATAACTAACAAGAGATGCCTTCTTTAACCTGAAATAGCAACCATTTTATTTTTTCCATGGTAATCCTCAAAGCTAAAAGGGTAGCAAGATATACTTTAAATCATCATGTCATTAGCTCCAATATCCTGGAAAAGTATTTTGCTGGCTGAAAAGTGTGCCAAACTGAAATCCTACAATAGATCTGATATGTTAATGAGGAAGTTTACAAGTTTACAAAGTTATGTTAATGAGGGCTTTAGCTCACCAAACTTCTAATTACTAAAATACTTTTCAACCTTTGTTCGTTCTTTATTTACTGAAAGGTAAGAATAAGCCATAGACTATCAAATCCAAAGGTGGAAATGCCGAGCAGCACAGTCCTGAGGCCCTCCGAGAGGCTACAATGTCCGAGTAAGACAATCTCATTTCTCAGGACCAGCAGGTGGCAAAGTGGTTACTGGACTCCTGTGTAGTTGACCACAGTTCCAGTCCTAGACCTGGCGACTTAAAACTCACACCAGGCCTGTGTGTGTGTGTGTGTGTGTGTGTGTGTGGGTCTGAAATCCTGAAAGGAGAATGGAGAAGGGATTACGGTGTGGCCAGCCTCCCTGGGGAATCAATGATTTAGCACTTTCTGTTTGTGTCTCACTGGCATGCGCACACGCCATATTACAAAAATCTATCTCTCAAAAAAAAAGAAGAGAAAATCTCATTTTTCAAACATGGTCCTTAATGACAAACAGCCAAGTCTGATTTGTATACCTGCTAACTGTATGAAACAGAATTGCAAACACTTTAAACAACTAAATGCTGAAGAGTCTTACCTTTTCTCTTTTCGTGTGGAAATCTGACAGATCTATCCCACTCCTATCAAGAGGCTGAAAAAAATGAAATTTTGTTAGAAGAGATGGAAAACTCTGAAAATGATGACTCGTATATATGCACATCATTTAAAAAAATATTTAAGAGTCAACTTACAGAATTCAGAGGGGAGGAAACAGATGGAATTCTTTTAGCATCCTGTTAATGTTGAAATAATAATAAAATTAAGGTTTTTCCCCATCAAACTCAAATTTTATAATCTTCTGTATTTAATTATGATTTTAAAAACTTACCGCTAGAGGGCTTGACATTTTCTCTAAAGACTGCAATATCCGCCGAGCTGTTGAACTGGTCACACCATAAGACTGGGCATTGAGCTGCTTCGCTTTCATCTGTCTTCTGACTGGGGCCTGTAAAGTGAAACCCTCTATTATAACAGAGCAAAATCAGAGGCACAAATTTCACACATGAAAATATTTACAAAATAAAAATGGATGTCCGAAGTGACACAAGACTAATGAGTTAACAGCAACTTACCTTGGGTGGTATCACCAACAGCTAGGTTAGTATTTTTTTCTTTCTGCCTTTACTGAAAATCTTACTCTCTGACTCAGATTATTCTTATAATAATAACAAATAAAAGAGTGATAAGATAACATGCAGCACTCTAAAGATCTGCCAGTTATGTTGCATGGGATGACTGGTGAAAACAATTCTAAGATTATCTGGGTCCACTTCCCCTTGATGTTTAAGGAACATTAAATTAGTGAAAACTGAATTAAGCTATCAGTTATCCTGAGTATTAAATAACATTTAATTACAGGGAATTCTAAGACAGTTAAATGAAGACATGGCAGATTCTACAGCGGTCCAAATTCAAAATTTGAATTCTAATGAGATGTTATTCAGAAGCTGACATAACAAAAGAACATTTTTATATACTCGAGCTGTTTCTTGGTTTTTTTAAAAAGAATTATTATTATCGTTGTTGTTATTCTCAATTTTCTATTATTATTATTGTTATAGGGCACATGGTATCACTAGAGAGAGACAGAGACATGGAGAGAAAAGGGATGAGAAAGCAAGCTACTGGGTCTAGGACTTGAACTGTGGTTGGCTACGTGGGAGCCCAATGTTCTAAACACCATGCCACCTGCTTGCCCTCCAAGCTGTTTCTTAGTAAATGACTTTTAACTTTAAAAAATGAGGTTGAGGGGCCAGCAGGGGACATGGTGGTTAATGCACTGGACACTCCCACATGGCCAACCACAGTTTGAGTCCTGAACCTGGTGGCTAGTTTTCTTACTCCCCCCTCTCTTGGTCTCTCTCTGGTCAAATTAAAATAAATGAATGAATAAATAAAATTTTAAAAATAATTATTTTTTAAAAAACTGGGGTGGAAGGTTTTGGCACAATAGGAGGGCGCCACTCAGCAGTGGCTGAGGCACAGTGGTGCACACATGTGGTGCTAATTAGGTGACAGGGTCGGGAGGGTTTCAGCATGGCAAGACCTGTCAAGGAGGCATGTTTTCTGTTTCACTCACTCTCTATTCAAGCCTAGAGAGAAAAATACCAGTAAAAATCAGTTCTCTTTATCAAGAATGAATTACACCAATTTAATAACCAAGTGGCTACCACAAAACTAAGTAGGCAATATTAAAAAAAAAACACACAACAAAAATATAACCCAGTTTTTATGAACAGCTTATAATATATGAAAAATTGAATCGTAGGGGCCAGCAGCTGGTATAGTAATTAAGGCACTGCATTTCCACATGACTAACTGTGGTCTGAGTCCAAGATCCAGAGCTTGAAAATCATGCCAGGCACATGTGCTTAAAATCCCAGGAGAAGAATGAAGAAGAGAAGAGAAGGGATTATGGCATGGCCATCCCCTACAGAGGGTGATTTCTCACTTTCCCTCCCCTGCCCACTCTAGTGAGCGCAGGCGCCCTGTGGCAAAATTTAAAAAAAAAAGGAAAAAGAAAAATCAAGCCATAATAACTACTTAAAACAATGTTTCCCTGTCAAATGCCGAACAGCCAGCCATTCTATTTCTGGAGCAGCTGCAATAATCTATATTCATTCTAGTAACACCTGGTGCCCATTAACAATTACTGGTCAGGCCACAGGCTTTGGCAGACAGGAAGAAACAGTACAATTTCCTCCAGGAAATAAACAATAGTCTAAGATCCCGAGAGAAGAATGGAGAAGGGATTGCGGCTTGGCCATCCTTCCTAGGGGGTGATTTCTTGCTTTCTGTCTCTCTGTCTCTTTCTGGTGAGCATGCACGCTATAGCAAAAACCTCTCAAAAAACAAACAACAAAAAACAAACAAACAGAAACTATTCCATCATGGAATCTACAAGCTTTTTAGGGCCACAGTTCACGAATCAATAAAATGGAACTGAATTAGAGAATCTTTAATGTCCCCTAGCTCTAACACTCTAGGAAAAACAGGAAGAGATTTTCTCCCCAAGTGACAATCATAAATATTTTGGAAGTCTGTGCAGAGGATTCCAAGACTTAGCATAACAAAGTAAAGATTCAGTATTAGCAATACTAGAGGTAAGTAGTAAGGACATACTCAAACTAGTCTATGAATCACAGGCTAGACTTCTACGAAAATACTGAACTATTTTAATTATAAAAAAAACTTTTAAAGAGTAATGCAGGGGCCTGCAGGTGATATGGTGGTTGAGGCACTGAACTCCCATATGGCTGACCACGGTTCGATTCCTGGACCTGGGGACTTCCTTTTTCACTTCCTCCACTCTCTTTGTCTCTCTCCAATCAAATTTAAAAATATTAATAATAAATAAAAGTTAACAAATATTTCTTTAAAAAACTCTTTAAAAAAATAATAATAATTTTAAAAAAAGGAATGATACAATCCAGCCTAAGCTTTAGAAAAAGCTCCCCATGTGGGCCAGCCGGTGGCCTGGTAGTTAGGAGCTGAAGCTCACATGGCTATTGCACGGTGTGAGGACCAGATGCAGTGGCTTGATAAACATGCTGGGCACGCGTGCACTCATGCCCAAAGTCCCTGAAAGGAGGGAGAAGTGGAGAAGCGACAGCAGTATAAATATTCCCCGTGTGGGGGCTTGCTCTCTCCCGCTCTGGTGAGTGTACACGCCATCTAACAAATTAAAAAGGAGGGGAAAAAAAGCTCCCTGTGTAATGCCAACATTCATTTAATTCTTTTTCTTATTACACAATATTGTCCTTCATAAACAAACTCAGAAATAAGCCTCATAATTATGGTTAATTATATATCAAAGAATCCTCTCATTAGGAAAGCATTAACTACTCTAAAGATAAAACAAAATCTCCTAACGTAGTTATTTCAAAGGCATTCCTATGTTTGTAATGGACTGTCATCTTAACAAGATTTCCCTCTCCAAAAGCCTATATGTACATCCTCTCCCATCTTTAAAATGTCAAAATCTGCAGTGTCGAATAAAAGAACATAGCATTATATATTCAAAATGGAATTTTCAGTCAAGAAAATAGGAGAAAAAAGGCACAGAATAATCTGATTTACCTTAACGGGATGCTTTTTAAGATACGCATGCTGTCTACCACAGGCCGCCTCTTCCCTTATACTCTGCACTTCTCTCCTGCCTACTCACTGATGAGGACCTGCAGCAAAACGCTGACCAGGAGCAGGGACAGCAGACGTCCCTGCTCACTTCCTGATCTCTGGGGGACAATGCTCAGTCTTTCATCAGTAACTGTAACACCAGCTGAGGATTTTTATTTTTTATTTTTATATAAATGTGCTTGATTAGGTCAAAGAGGTTATCTATTCTTAGATTGCTGTTAAATTATTTCATGAGTGAATACTGGATTTTGCCAAATGTTTTATATGTCTATGGAGATATTAACATGATTTTTATTCTAGTCGGTTTACATGGCAGATTACATTAATCTTCAAATGTTAAGCCAACCTGGTATTCTCAGAAGAAACCCCACATGATTATGAAATTGTTTCTTTCTTTCTTTTTTTTTTGGTGGAGAGTTTTTTGCTATAGGGCGTGTGCGCTCTCCAGACAGAGAGACAGAGAGATAGAAAGCGAGAAATCACCCCCCCCCCCGGGGCGATGGCCACACCACAATCCTTCTCCTCCATTCTCCTCTCGGGATCTTGGGCATGCACGCACACACACGCACCTGGTCTGAGTTTTAAGCCACCGGGTCTGGGATGCGAACCGCAGTCAACTACATGGAGTCCAGCGACATAGCCATTACGCCAACTGCTGGCCCCTGAAATTGTTTCCTTTTATATGATGGAAACCACTGACAATTATTTTGATGAGAAGGTTTATGTCTATAATTCATGGGAAATATTGGTCCACAGGTTTCTTATAATGTCTCTGCCTCATTTTGGTATGAGGAAGATGCTGGCCTCCTAAAATGCCAAGAAGCCTTCCCTCATCTTCTACCACATTGAGGAGTTTCTGGACAGCTGGCATTATTTCTTTCTTAAATTCTGACAGGATTCACCATGAAAGCCTTAAGATTTGACCCTGAAAATTTCTTTGCTGGAAAATGTTAATTATGAATTCAATTTATTGAATAAGTAAGACTGTTCAGGCAATTTATTCTTGACTAAGACTAAATAACACAGAGTACTTAGGTATAAATCTAACAAACAAGTTCAAGGTCTGTATGCCGAATACTACTAAACACTGATTACAGAAAGTTTTTTTAAATGAATTATTTATTTATTTAAATTTGACCAGAGAGGAACAGAGTGAGAGTGAGAACGGGAAAGTGAGAAAGCAAGCCACCAGGTCTGGGACTCAAACTGCCATCACCCATGTGGGAGTCCAGCACCCTTAACCACCATGCCACCTGCTGGCCCAATTTTAAAAAATCTCAAAAGCACCTAAACAAATGTAGATATATATACCTGTTCAGGGATTGGAAGACTCAATTTTGTTAAAATGTCCATTTTCCCCAAGTTGATCTTTAGACCCAATGTAATCCTAATCAAACTCCGAGCAGACTTTGTGGAAACCAATAAGCTAATTCTAAAATTTTACGAGAAAGTCAAGGACCTACAAATGCCAAGACAGGCTTGGGAGAAAAAAATAAGTTGAAGGACTCATATTACCTATTTTAAGACCTTCTATTGCATTATAGCAATCAAGACAATGTAGTAGACAATGGAGGAAAAACACACACACAATCAATGGAAAATACAAAATCTAGAAACAGAGACATATATATAGTCAACTAGTTTTTAACAAAGGTGTAAAAGGTGTAAAGCTAATTTAATGGACAAACAACAACCTCTTCAACATACGTGGTAGTAGAACAACTAGTCACATGTAAGTAAACTTTAACCTATACTTCATACTACTCATAAAAAACTAAAACCATGACATTTCTAGAAAAAATAGGAGAAAATCTGTGATGTTTAGGTGTCTAAGATATAATACCAAAAGCATACTAACATAAAAGAGAAAAAAACCCCTGATATTCTAGGTGTGACCAAATGTATAAACTTCTGCTCTTCAAAAGCCACTTTTACGAAAAGCCACAGAATAGGAGAAAGTATCTGCTAAACACACATCTGATATAGGGCTTGTTTCCTGAAAAATGAACCTAAGACTCACTACTAAGAAACTCCAATTTTACAATGGGCAAAAGACCTGAATAGACACTTCATCAAAAAAAGACAAACTGATGACAAATATGCACATGAAAAGATGCTCCACATCACCAGTCACTGGGGTCCACAGCACGCCTGTTAGGTTGGCTGAAACAATAAAATGACCACACCCAGTGCCGAAAAGGGTGGAGAGCCCCAATTCTCCTTCCGCACTGGCGAGAACGCACACTGGCACTAGCCACTTTTTTGGAAAACAGTTTGGCAGTGTATTTGTTTATCCCTGTATACTTAACATAAGTATTGGCCATTCGACTCCTAAGATAACCCAAGAGAGATGAAAATGAATGTTCAGACACAATGGTCATAGCAGCTTTATTCTGAACGAAAACTGGGAACAACTCAGTATCCTCATACCGGCCAATGAAACAAACTGTATTACAACCACTATGTTCAGCAACAAAAACAAACTAGCCATTGATACATGCAAAACCAGGCCCCTCTCAAATGCACTATGCTAACTAGACTTAAAAGACTCCAGGGGGGAACCAGCAGTTAGCGTAATGTCTATGTCGCTGGACTCCCACGTAGTCGACCGCGGTTCGTGTCCCGGACCCGGTGGCTTAAAAAACTCACGCCGGGCGCGTGTGCGTGTGTGCCCAAGATCCCGAGAGGAGAATGGAGGAGAAAGGATTGCGGCATGACCATCCCCCCTGGGGGGTGATTTCTCGCTTTCTGTCTCTATGTCGCTCTCTGTCTGTCTGGCGAGCGCACGCGCCCTACAGTGAAAATCTCTCAAAAAACAAACAAACAAACAAAAAAAAGACTCCACACTCTGGAACCACAGATAGTGTAATGGTTATGTCACTAGAGTAATCATGTCATAGTCAACCATGGTTCGAGTCCCAGAACCAGCAACTGAAAAATACTGGGAGCGTGAGTGTCCAAAATCCTGAGAGGAGAATGGAGAAGAAAGGACTGTGGAGTGGCCATCCCCCCTAGGGCATCATTTCTCGCTTTCTATCTCTGACTCTCCCTCTGTCTATCCAGCAAGTGCATGCACCCTATAACAAAAAAATATCTCTTAAAAACAAAATAAAATAAAAGAACCAGTGAATGGCGTAAAGATTACATCAGTGGACACCCACATAGTCGACTGGGTTTGAGTCCCGATCTGACGACTTAAAACCCATGCAGGGTGCATGTGTGTGCATGCCTAGGATCCCAAGAGGAGAATGGAGAGAACGGATTGCGGCATAGCCATCCCCCCCGAGGGGTGATTTCTCACTTTCCGTCTCTGTCTCTCTAGCGAGTGAACACACCCTATAGCAGAAAAAAAAAAATCTCTTAAAAAAGAGAAAAAAGACTATATATTCTATGAATAAGTTTACATGACATTCTGGAAAATCCAAAACTACAGGGAAGGAAAACAATTAAGTGGCTGCCAGTGGGTGGTAGTGGAACGAAGGGCTGACTGATTACAGAGATGCAGAAGGTAATGTTGCAGGGTAACAGAAATGTGTGCTCAATATTTTGACTGCAAAAACAGTAACAAACTATGTTTTATTAAAATTCAAATACTCTGGTAAGGGTAAATTTTATTAGGTGTAATTTATGCCTACTGTGGAGAAGGAATTAATTATCAAACTTCTAAGAAACACACACACAAATCTACACAAAACACTCACTTAGGCCTAAAATAATGTTCAGATGCCCTAAATTAAAAAATGTAATCTACATGTCTACTATTTTACCAAAGATTGAGTAAATGAAAACTTTTTTTTTGGGGGGGGAGGGGAGGAAATAGGTGTGTGCCAATAGTTTAAAGGAGAAAAAAAGGTTATCAGCCCTCATCCAAGCCAACCTGATACGGCGTGTTCCGTAGTTTAGACTGTCTCACAGCAGCTGCTGCCCCACCATATGTTGTTTTTCCAGGATAAAAAGGAGAATCTCCAAGCTGACTTGTTTTGAGGATTGAGGAATTCCCAAGTGACTGCACAGAAACACAATGATAAATTATAAGCATTAGTAAACACTCAAAACTAATGTGATTAAATCCAATCCAGTCAGTACTCACAGGGGAAAGTGTTCCAAAAGCAGACAAGTTGAAGGCTGGTTTTTTTGAGCTGGTGGCAGTGTGCTGTGAGAGTGAGTGAGGACGCTCAGCCTCCGGGGACCACAGAGGTGGCAACGAAGTATTCTTTGAAACAGCTATATCTGAAACAAAAACATAGTAATGGCTCATAGTAATGGCTCCAATTACAAGACCCTAGATTTTTTAAAAAAGAACATTAAAATGACGACTAAGTCAGCAAAAATAATCGTCCCATGAAATTTAATTTTACTTTCACAATTATTAATTACCAAATGTGAAAAATACCTTTATCAGAAGCTCTTGAAGAAAAACCACTGGTAGTTGAGATGTTATCATCATCATGCTGAGAGGTAGAATCTTTAATTTCCTTTACGAGGGAAAACCCAGAACTGCCGACTGGGAAAGCTGAGGATGTGGACGGCTGACAGTGCAACGCAGGGGATTCTAACACGGAGAAGTTCAGGTGGCTCCGATGAAGAGACGGCCGTGTCAACACGTCTGGGTAATGCGAAGCAGTACTAGTTGTTGAAGGTTCTTAAAAGAAAAGCCGTAATATTATGAATATACAGTTTAGAAAAAAGCAATCCACTGCCACAATAAAATGGTCTTTAAGAAAACACACTATATAATGTAGGTTCAATTCAAATCACAGAAACCGCCAATGAAAAGCCCAAGTTATGATCATCTTTCTTTTAATTTATTTATTTCTTCCATTAGCGAGGCAGGCAGAGGCAGGCAGCCCCAGCAGGTCTCTGTGACAGCCACCTCAGCCTCAGCCTGCCCAGATGGCACATACCGGCACCTGGTGCACTCTGGAAGGGTCCGGGACGAGAACCCGGTGCCGGGGCTTGCTCACGCAGCTGCAGTGTGCTTGTGCTGTATCACCACCTGCACCCAAGATATTCCTTTAGCCAACCGAGGTTCCAACCAACTGAAATTAATTTACTTAATTTGACAACAAGTATAGTTTGGTGACCACATACAATCTCTTTAAGTGCGTGATTTTTGTTTTTCCTTGAATAGGTATGAAACCTGCTCATAAAAATAAAATCACTGAAGCCAGATAAGACAGTAAGCATAAGCCTATCCCTCCAGAAATTACCGCTAATAAACCTATATATACACTCAGGTTTTTATTTGCATATACAAATATACACTTTCCCTAAACATGCTATGCATCCTATTCTGTGACTTGTGTTTTCATTTACTGATACGGTTTCTATATTGCATTCTATCACACCGTCATACTGATTTACTGTAACTGTCTGCTTCATTATTTTCCTAATACTCTATCAGATACACATGTGCTCATATCTGTATACTTTTAACATTGACAACATTCTTTTGGATAAAACCATGATTCTTTCAATATGTATGAGAATCATGAAGAGGAATATTAAACAACTATCAGTGAGAAATTATCCTAAGCGGTCCTAGGAATTCTGCGCATGTATGGGAGTAAAAACAATACATGTGAAACTGTTTTACCATATGGCACAGGGTCAGACCACATGCTTATCACAGATATTAAACTGGTTCAAAGGGTTTCCAAACAAACCGTATCCCACAAATAGCAAACGGCAATGTACATTTCCCATAGTCGCTAACACTGGTTATTAACCTTATCTGATTTCTGCCAATCTAATGTCAAATGGCATCATTATTTTATTTGCATTTATTTAAATAAGAGGACTTTTGAGCATCTTTTCTTGCATTTGTTGGCCACTTACATTCCTTCTTCTGTTAACTGCTTGTCCATTTGGCCTTACAAATATGATTCATAAGAACTGGGGCCAGCAAATGGTGTGGTGGTTAAGGTGCCGGGTCCCACACATGGCTAACTCCACAGACTGAGTCCCAGATCTGGCAATTCTGAAAATCACACTGGGTGCGTGTGCATGTGAACCCAAAATCCATAAAGGAGAATGTAGAAGAGACTGCAGTGTGGCCATCACCCAGGGAGTGATTTCTCACTTTCTCTATCTCACTCACACTCTCCCTGGTGAGTATACGTGCTACACAGCAAAAAAAAAAAAAAAAAGGAAAGAAAAGAAAAAAAGATTTAATTTTTTGGGATCACTAAGCTCAATGTGTGATGACTGTTGAAATACTACTATTTTTGGTAAATCCCATTCATCTTTTGGGGTTAGTATCTTATGTAATACATAAAATAACTTGGACTTCATTTATAGTCTTTTACCAATCCAAGACATAAAAAATAACTTTTATCCATTTTTTTTAAAAAAACATGGCACTGCTGGTCTTATTTCAACATAACATTTCATCTTTACTCCATCTAAAATTAGTTATGATACAACAGTGAAGGAGTAATTCAGCCTGTTTTTCAAATCATGTCCTGTTTTAGTCTCACACTAGTCCTTTAAATAAGCCACGCTTTACCCACTGGTTGAGACACCACTGTCGCCACACACAGGCATCCCGGTTCTCCTGCACCACTCTATCGCACCTTGCAGACAGTCCTTTCCTTTTTCTCTTCTTATGAATACCCTGCCATTAAGCAAGTCTCTTGTTACCATTTCTCCAAAAGCCTGTGCTGACTTAACATCAGTGTCACACTTTCAAAGTTATTGCAATATGTCAAACCCTTCCATTGATATATGTTTTATGCTGATCTGTGATCAATGTTCTTTGAGGTTACCACCATAACTGTTCTGTTTGCCCAGGTAACAATCAGGCAAAGTAGCTCACAGCGTCAATCCGCTGATTCAATTTAACAGATACATTATTTGAGGTTTTCCTCATTGGTCTACCCCACTATCTAATAGAAGACATCTGAAAACCCAGTGGCTCACTGTCATTAAAGCCATCGACGCTAGAGGCAAGTGGGCAGAAAGCTGCAGGCAACAGACTTGAAATGGGCCACAAATTCTGTTGTTCCTGCAGTGTGCTTCTTGAGAAATGCACAATCCTCTCCCAGCCCCACTGTTACTATTAATATAAAAGTTATATTTGTGTAATTAATATTTAGTGAGCAACACTGAGGACTGTCATATCAAAATTATTTTTAGCTTTCTATAATTTGACACTACTTCAGTAGTAGATGTATCTAAGTCTTTTGAAAATGCACCTGTAAAATTTAAGTGTAGTATTTCAGAGTAAGCAAATTTCTTCATTATATCTAGTAAGACTTTTATTCATCTTATTTGGGATTTATCTGTGCTACTTTAAGACACACACAATATGTCTGCGGGTATTAAACAACATTTTGAGAATGATAGAGGCAGATTACAGAATTATCTGGGACTCAAATGTTTAAGATAGAAGCAAAGTTCATATTTATGGCAAGAAGGGGGTGGAGAGCCATCAAATTTTTTTTAGTAGTTATCAAAAAGCTGCCCACAATGGCTTCTGAACAATCAGGAGAGTTGGGTGGGAAGATAGGCAAGCAGGTGCAAGAACAGAGAGAGTGAGAGCAGCCACAGGTTGCCATGGCTGAGCTGGGTGATGGGTGCCTGGGAGCTCAATGTACAGCTCTTCACTGCTGTAAACAGAAATTTTCTGTAATAACTGAAAGTTCAAAGTTATTCACTAATATGCTTAACACAGGAACAACAGATAAGTCACCTAATGGATTTAATAAAGCAATGAATAAAATGTGAATAGACCTTGGCAAACCAATGAAATTAATTTCACTGTTTCCACGAAAATACAAACAAAAAGGGAACTTTATATATGGAGAATGAAAAACTCTCCATGTATCCAACACATAAAATATTCAAATTAGTTAATCCTTACAATTCTGCTCATTGGACCAGCAGTGGGCATAATGGCTATGTTGCTGGACTCCCATGTCATCGACCACGGTTTGAGGCCCGGACCCGGGGGCTTAAACTCATGCCGGATGTGTGTGCGCGCATGCCCAAGACCCCAAGAGGAAGATGGAGGAGAAGGGACTGCGGCGTGGCCATCCCACCTGGGGGGGGCGGTGATTTCTCACTTTCTGTGTCTGTCTTTCTGGCAAGCACGCACACCCTATAGCAAGAACCTCTCCAAAAAAAAAAAAAAAAAAAAAAAAATCGGCTCCTTAAAAAAAAAAAAAAAAAAAAAAAAAAATCGGCTCAATAGAATGGAAAAGACCATTTTGGTAACAGTACGTATGATGAGCTAATGCATGCTAGAAGTCTCTAACCAGCAGAAGCAGAAAAGTGGTGGTCCCATTTAAACGACAGAATCTGTCAGCTTAGAGATCTACCAAATAGAAGTGCCAACATCAGTTGTTGGTAACATATTTAAAAGAAATCCTGGCTAATATACAGATTAAAACTTGACCTATTCTAATGAAAACAAGTGACCACTCAAAGACTATGCCCAACTGAATATTCATAAGAAAATTCAGATTGTCCATCTCTCCAAAATAAGAATATTCTTTTAAGCCCACTTCACTATCACTGTTTTTGTAGAGTAAGCAAATGAGGCAGGAAAACATGTTACTAAGTACAAGAAAATTAATAGGTCCTACATCCACATCAAGTATTTCTTCAAGACAAGACTTAACATAGACAAAATGTTGTGGGCTGGCTCTGTGGTGCAGTGACGAGTGTATCATCAAGAGAAGTAGGATCCCACATGGCAACCACAGTTCAAATCCCTGGCCTGGTCAGTCTGAGACCAGGTATGTGCTCAAGTGCCCAAGATCCAGCAGGTTGGAGGACTAGATGAAGGGTACCCAAATAGCCATTTCTTTGCAGATACACACATGGCCACTAGGCACATTAAAAGATGTAGATCATCATCAGTCATCAGGTAAACGCAAATCAAACCCGCAATGAGATACCATTTCATACCAGCTAGAATAGCCATTATTTAATCGAAATAAACTGAAAATCAGTACTGGTAAGAAATTAAATCCTTCATATACTGCTGGTGGGAAGCTAGGATGGTAGAGCCATGTGGAAACAGTTTGATAGGTCCTCAAAATATTAAATGCAGAATTAGTATATGACCCAGCAATTTTACTACACATAAACACTTGCATACCAACATTCGTAGCAGCATTATTCATAATATCCAAAAAGTAAAAACAATTCCAATGTCTAGTAACTGATGAATGTTTAAGTAAAATGTAGTTTATCCACACCATAAAAATAAACTAAATTCTCATATGGTATGGATGAATCTAAAAAGCACTGTGCTAAGAAGTCAGAAAAACACCACGATATAGGATTCTACTCCCTCTTATTACTGCTAACCAGGGGGTTGGGGAGAGGTTGGGGGGGTGACTCCTAATGGGTATGGGGTTTCTCTGAGGGTGACAAAATGTTCTAAATTCACTGGTGGTGGCAACTGAGGAACTCTGAATATACTACAAATTAGTCAACTGCAGACTTTACGTGAGTAGTTTTATGACATGTGAAGTATAGCTCAGTAAAGCTATAAAAACATATATATAAAGTGAAATGACAAAGTAGTATTTCTAACTGTGCAATATTCATGAGTTACACTCAATCTATTTAATACTTTTAAAAACCCACCAAAATGCTGTAAACTAGATCCAAAAACCTTCGGCTTTCAAAATGTAGGGCCGGGCTGCTTTCGTAGCACTGCAGTAATGGGCTGCTCAAGGGAAGCCAGATCCCACATACTCTATCATGAGTGAGGAAAACAATTTTCAAATAAATAAAGTAAAATGCAGGGTCACTTTAACCGTAAGATGAATGAAATGACAAAGCTGACCTTCCTCCAGAGTGGACAGGAGCTCAATATAGTTAGGTTACACACCAGTGCATGTGCTGTGGGAGGCGCTATCATGCTATTACGGCTCCACTGCAACAGATTTTAGCATTTATACTACAGCAGTTCCACTGCAACAGATTTTAGCACTTAGACTGGCTCCTTCAGCGCCAAGACCTACTCTAAGGTCTTCAATGACTCCTTTTGCAATAACTTATGAATGAATGTATAAAGAAAATATTGGGTGGTTTGAGAAGTCATGCATTTTTCTACACGGAGGTGTGTCATGACTTTTCTGACTACCCAATCCCAAGGAGAATGGAGAAGTATGGTGTAGTCACCCCACTTCATCTGTCTCTCCCTAGTAGGTGCAAGCACCTTATAGCAAACCAAAAAAAAAAAAATACCAGAGGAAGAAACAACATAAGCAATCAATACCTTCAACAGCTTTCTCAAGCAATTACTTTATTGTATATTCTTTAAGAAAGAAAAACAAATAGAAATATGAGTTCTTAAGATTATTTTGCCCACAGTCACAGAACTAATCTTGGTGGTATGAAAATTCAAACCCAAGGGTCTGGCAGGTGGCATGGTGGTTAAGGCCCTGGACTGCCACATGGCCGACCACAGTTCATGTCCCAGACCTGGTGGCTTGCTTTCTCACTTTCCCTTTTTCTCTCTCTCTGTCCCTTTCTGATCAAATTAAAAACCAAATAATAATAAACCATATAAAATAAATAATTCTTAATAAAAAGTAATTCAAACCCAAAGTAACAACAGAACTTGTACTCTTAGTAGATATATCAGCCTTCCTTAATAAAAAGCTGATAAAGATACCAAATTTGAACCTGATCATCACTAACCTTCCTCCTACGTGGTGATGTACTTACTGCCTGATGAAATTTATCATAGCCAGGTAGCATAAAATTGTCTAAAGGTGAGGGAGGAAAACCTACTATTCATAACTAAATACCCGCGTTGCGTTCTACTCACCTTCCGCATTACTGGCTGCTGGCTCAGGAGTGATTCTCCCGTCATTGATACTGGTGCTCTCCTCATCAGCAAACATCAGCTGGTCATCTTCTTGACTTTCTGGCCAGGGTGGTACCTGGCCTGTGTCTGCTGAGCAGCTGCATACATCTTCGCTCTTGTTGAAGTATCTCTGGAGCCACCCTGGCACAATATTCTTAACAGATTCTGTAACCCTGCTAAGAATACCCTGTGGGGAGGAGGGAGCACAGAAGACGATTTTAGAAAGTAAGTACCTACTTACAGAAAGCCATGCCAAACAGCACACAACTGTTTCCGACAACGCTGGCTAAGATTCAATTAAAGTTATTGTTAATGTAATGGTATCTTACACATGGTATAAACAGCATAAGCCAATAAATGTCCCAAATGGCTGCATCACTCTAATCGTTTTTTTTTAAAAAAAAGAATAGGCCTCAAATAAACAATATCTAATTTAGATTAAGTAATAAAATATGCAGTAAATATTTTAATCTCATTTACTATCTCAGCATATGTAAGAGATGATATAGGGGCCAGCGGTGGCATGGAGGTTAAGGTGGCTGGGTCCCACATGGTCAACTGTGTGGTCTGAGTGCCCGACCTGGTGGCTTGAAAAACACATAGGTGCATGTGCACGTGTAAACAAAATTCCGAGGAAAATGGAGACGTGAGTATGGTGTGGCCATCCCATTTAGAGGGTGATTTCTCATTGCCTTTCCCTAGTGGACACAAGCACCTTATAGCAAACCAAAACAAACAAATTAAAAAAACGGAAAGAAACAACATAAGCAATTCAACACCTTCAACAGCTTTCTCGAGCAATTATTTTATTGTATATTCTTCAAGAAAGAAAAACAAATAGAAATATGAGTTCTTAAAAAGCAACCCCCCCACACACACATACACAATGCAGCGTGGCCACACTGAATTCTTTTTCTTCCATCTTTCCGTCCCGTCAGGATTTGGGGGCACATGCATGTACATGTGCTCCCAGCCTATTTTTTGAGCTCCTGAGGCTGGGGCTTGAAACACAATCACCCATGTGAGATACGGCTCCTAATGCACAGTGCTGAGCCACTGCTCTACAGGGCCAGCTCTCGTGGTAACTTTTAAAGGGAGAAAAGAAAAGTAATGTGGTATTATAATTATCAAGATCATTTTAATACCTATTGCAGCTTTGCTATGTGCCAGGCACTGTTCTAATAAATTTATAAATATATATATTACTTAATTCTCACAGTAACTTTATAGAGTTGAAATATTCCCATTTTATGGATAAAGAGACAGTGAAATAATGTACCTTATCCAAGGTACGAAGACGACAACTGGGCCAGCCCTGTAGTGCAGTAGTTAGGCACCACTCAAAGGAAGCCAGGTTCCATAGAAGTGACCAGGATGTGAGTCCTGGCCCTGTCAGCCCAGAAAACATGCTGCCCTGTGTACATGCCTAGGATTCTGACAGGATGGGAACTAGAGAAAAAAAGGGATTGTAGTGTGACCAAGCCCCAGCAGGGAATGCTCACTCACTCACTCTCTCTCTCTGAGCACACTGCACCATCTAGCATTAAAACAAAACAAAATAGGGACCAGTAAATGGTGTAATAGTTACATTGCTGGACTTCCATGTAGTCGACCGCGTCTCAAGTCCCAGACCCAGAGGTATAAAACTCAAGACAGACCAGCAGATGGCTTAATGGTTACGTCACTGGACTCCCACGGAGTTAACTGTGGTTTGAGACCCAGACCCTGCAACTTAAAACTCACTCTGGGTGTGTATGTGCATGTGCCCAAAATCCCGAGAGGAGAATGGAGAAGGGACTGTGGCACGGCCATATGCCCTGGGGGGTGACTTCTTACCTTCTGTCTCTCTGTTGAGCACACACGCCCTATAGCAAAAATCTCTAAAATTTAAGCCAGACACGTGTGTATGCATGCTCAAGATCCTGAGAGGAGAGGAGAATGAAAGAGAAAGAATTGCGACATGGCCGTCCCCCCCGGGGGGTGACTTCTTGCCATCTCTTAGTCTCCCTGTCTCTCTCTGCCTTGCTGGAGAGCACACATGCCCTGTAACAAAAATCTCTAAAAAGCAAAACACAGCACAGAACAAACACACACACACACACAACTACTATGTCAAATCTAGACGAGCATCAAAGCATGGCCTCTGGAGCTGCTAGGACCCTGGATTAAAAGTGAGTACCTCCCTGTACTCTGATTCGCTCTAGGACATGTAAGAACATCCCATCCTGCTATTACCTGATAGGAATCACAGCGAAAACCCAACGAAACGGTTCAGTACTCCGCAGGTCACAAGGTATATAACACACGCAGATCATTTCATCACTCGAGCATTTTAACAGCTAGGAAAAACAAACTGGAGCAAGGCAACAATTTCTTTTTTTTTTTTGATTTGCCAGAGGGCACATGTCAGACACTGAGAGAGAAAGAGGAAAAACAAGAAAGCCAGAAAGACTACTCCAAGGGGAATAGTCACTCTGTAACGTCTTTCCCTCCATTTCTCCCTTCTTTTGGAATTCTGGGCACATGCGCACAGACATCCAGCGTGTTTCTGACGCCACTGGGCCTGGGATACGAACTACACCGTTGGCCATGTGGGACCTAGCCACCGTAACCTCCGATCCACTGGCCGATCCAACGATTTCCTTCTGAAGCAGAACAGGGTTTCAGAGAAAGTCACGGGAGAGAGAAAACCAGTACAAAACTACAGTAAAGTCAAGGCACAATATCTAAATGTACCCTGAAAGGTAACCCAAGACATAGAGGCCTAACAATCCTATAAAGAGAAAAGACGGAAGACGGCTCTGATGTAGGCACTTCAATATTAATTTCCTTATTGTTTGAAAAGGTGTGGGGAACCGCTGGGAAGTACGGAACTATTTCTCCACGTACTCTCCAAACAGAAATTTTCAACACATCTCCAAGGTAAGTGCTCCCTCAAACACACGAAGCCACGGTTCTAGGATCCCCCACGGGAACATTCGCCATCTCCCCGTCTATGCTACCGTCGCACAGCTTTAGTTCCTTTGGAAAAAAAGATCACGTACCTAACACCTGAGACTTAATATGTATAAAATTATAATCTAGTACCTTTTTATCATCCCCGTATTTCTCAAGACTTTAAAGTGCTCACAAAATATAATACAGTTTAAGATAGACTTTAAAAAGGGGCTGGCAGGTGATGTGGTGGTTAAGGGCGCTGGACTCCCACACGGCCGACCGCAGTTCGAGACCCGGACCTAGCAGCTTCCTTTCTCACTTTCTCTGTCCCTCTCTGGTCAAATTAAAATAAATAAATAAATAAATAAATAAATAAATAGTTAAATAATTCTAAAAATAAATAAATTTTAAAAAGACTTAAACTAATTAAACACATACTGGATATGAAGTGATAGGTTAGCTGATGCATCATATTGAAAATGTAGTGTAGAAAATCTTTTTGTGGACTTCGTCTAAGGTGCTAAGCTATTAAAAGTACAGAGATTCCTGTGATCCTACCCACCTAAACAGGCAATAAAGAGCAACTTGAAACTGATGGCAGAATTAACCAAACTGGGTCACTCATGTAGCAGCACTACATGTCTTAGAGAAAATACAGAAAATAAGACTGAACAGTTGAAGTTCATTCACTAAAGCACATAAACTTTCTCTTCAAGAGGTGTTTGCCTTAGGGGGCATGTGCACTTGCCAAAGAGATACAGACAGAGACAGTAAGAGGGAAAGTGAGACGTCACCTTCCCGGGGAGGTGGGGGGGATGACCACACTGCAATCCCTTGTCCTGGGTACACAAGCATGCACCTGGTGTGATTTTCAAGCTACCGGGTTCAGGATTCGAACCGTGGTTGAGCATGTGGGAGTCCAAGGACGTAACTGCTATACCATCTGCTGGCCCCCTAAAACTCTTGAGCCCTCTTTTCTAAACTAAAATTTAATTTATCTGGTATTAGCCCACAACAGCTTAGCATAAAAAATCAGTACCACGGAGGACTTGCTGGTGGCACAGTGAATGACAGCATGGAGACTAGGTTCAGTCCTTTCTTGTACTGGTGGCTCCCAAGCGTGGTCCCTGGAGCAGCATTATCAGCACCAGCTCAGGTGCTATCCCAGACCTACTCACGGGCAGACTCCGCGGCAGGAACTCGCAAGCGATGCTGATGTGTGCTAAAGTTTGAGGACCACCTGTACAGTTAGACTAGGAAATCAGGTACATTTCAGGAATCAAGGGACATTCTAAGGAAAAAGTCCCTCTATAACAGATGAATAAAACGGTGCATATTTAAAAGGCTTACTTATCAGTTGTCTGGAAAGCAATGAGGAGCCAGCAGGTGGCATGGAGGTTGAGGTGCTCTATTCTCAAGTGGCTAACCGCAGTTCGAGTCCAGGGTCTGGCAGCTTGCTTTCTTACTTTCTCTCTCTCTCCCTCTGGTGACCATAAGTGCTATATAGCAAAATTTTAAAAATAATAATAAGTCATTTTAAAAACTACATTATAATGAACATACTTCAAAAACAAATCTTGCAGTGACCATTTTGGATTGTGCTGAATACAGTGCAGCTCACAGAACTGTTTTCCCATCATTTTCCAACTTCAGTCATGAGTTGTAGCTGTACTATCATTTAACGTTGTTCTTTAAATCTACTCCCTCTTATTAAGCCATGTTTTAAGAATAAAATCCATAAAATCACAGGGTGAAGCTGTGCTGGTGTCCTCCTGCCCTTCCCTCCGCACATTTCTGACAGGCAGTCCTTACAAGGGCACTATACCACCGGCTCTGCTAACCATTACAGGAAGGGCAGGAGAGAGGTCTTTCTGTCATCCCCTCCTTGCTGAGACGTGCCACCTCCAAACGACAGCTCTGGTCGTGGCTCCTCTCCTGCCTTTCGCATCACGTCTTCCCAGGAATGGTGGCAGCTTCCTGCTGTTAAAGCCTCTGGCCATCCTGCTCTCTCTTATTTACTCCCTTCACCATCAAGTGGATCTCTAAGCAGACATTCTTTTTATTACTATTATTATTTTATAGTGCAGTACTGTTCATTTTTTCCCTAATTAACTGGAAGCCGTCTACGTAACATATTCATCCTTTTTATCAACAATGGAACACATGGGGAAGCACCCATACTACCCAAAACTTTTATTCAACCTTTATCTCTGCAAAACACGAACAAGAAAAGGGCTTTATACTGCTCGT